TTCCCCTCCCTCCCTCCCTCCCTCCCTCCCTCCCTCCCTCCCTCCCTCCTCCTCCTCCTCCCTCCCTCCCTCCCTCCCTCCCCTCCCTCCCTCCCTCCCTCCCTCCCTCCCTCCCTCCTCCTCCCTCCTCTCCTCCCTCTCCCTCTCTCTTCCTCCCTCCCTCCCTCTCCCTGCCAGTCTCCCTGCTGTGCCCCTCAGCTTTCTTCCCTCCAAATTTATTTTGAAAGTGGACTCGCTAACTTGAAAGTTCATGTTAAAATTTCATATTTCCAATTATTAGTGAAAAAATTGAAAAGCACATGAGAGAATTTCAGCATACCGCATTCGGAGACTTCAATTTGCCAATTCAGTAGTGACCGTAGCCTACTCTTTACTCAAAGTTAAGTTAAAATCAGTACGAGGACAATCAGGAGAGTCGAGGAGGCTTGACCCTGACACTGTCGCACAGGCCAAACGGCGAGAAGAGAAAAGACAGCGAGAACCAAACCTAAACCTGCCGACTAATGGCACGCGGCGGCGCGGCCGGGGCCCGGGGCCCGGGCCGCCGCGGCCCGGCCGTTCCGACACCGTGGCACGGTAGTACACTGATCCGATGGAGTCCGGGTCCGACCGTCCCGGCTCAGCCCGGCGTGCCGCGATGATGCCACGGTGCCCCCGGGGCCCGAGTCCCGGCCGCCCCGGCCCCTCCCCGGCGGCGGAGTCCGCCCGGCGCAGTACGGTACACGGCGGCGTATAGACGGTAGGCCGCCGTATACTGAGTACCCGGGCCGGCGGCGGCGCCGCCGGGGCGGCAGTAGTCCGTAGCTGGGCCAGCCTCAGGGCCGGGCCACCGTGTGCGCGGCCGCGTGACGCCCCGGCCGGGCGGCCCGGGCGCGCCCGGCGGCGCCCGGCCGCCTTAATTAGTACTGCGGCGGTAGTCTGTCATAGCCAAGGGAGGCGGAATGAGAAGCGACCAACAGTAACATGATTCCCGGTTTGAATCTCATCTCATCTCCTTGCCGCGGCGCTTCCTTTATGTATCCGATCCCTTCACTGTCCCCTAAGGGATCCAAATCTGATAAATTTCATTCAATTTGTTCGAGTAAAATTGAAATTTGCAGCCAAACAAATTGATTTCGGTGTTGGGACCTCGAAACGCTGCAGGGTGCGGTTTCAATTTATCATTTTTCAAGTTGAAATATTTCGTCATTTTTCTAAATTTGATATGCAATTTTTCGTGCACCTGGTGATTGTTTGGGTTGAAGACAGTATTTTCGATGGGAATCTCTTGCTTTTAAATTACTTGGGAGCATTTCAAAGATAAAAGTCTATTCTAAGGTCCCTTTATACGCCCCCAGGCCTGAGAGCGGAGATGAAGATGAGATTTTCCATCCCCCGAGGACCCCCCACCCTCAAACGACACTACCCTTGCACACCGTACTTTTTTATCACAAAGAAGGGGTCCGTGAACCGGGGTCAAATATCTCATTGGAGGTAGGGGTACTTGGGGCGCTCTGGGTTTTAAATCTTCATTTTATTCTAAGATTATATCAGAAAGCCCGAGATTTACCACACTTAAAGGTAATTAAAACTCAGTTTCATGTTTAAAACTCTTCTTGGGAGTTTAAAAACTATTTTACAGTACTTTCATAATAGTAATATAGTCTTCAAGTCATTAAATTGTTGATATGTTTGTTTTTCGAGTTATGAATAATATTTGTTAACATAAAACATTATAATACTTGTTTCTAAAAGTCAGTCGCTTTTGTGATGCGGACCGTTGCGTTGTTGAAATGGAATGGCATGAGACCTAGCAGGTGGGGGTAGTGACCCGACCTCAAAGTACCCCCCATTTTCCACATTTTCTTCTATATGTTCAGGTCAAATGTAAGGTAGGGGTACAGTACCCTACCATCAAGACCAAGTCTCCTCATCGCGTTGGGGAGGAAGGAATGGCAGGGTGAACATGGAGGACGGGGGGAAGGGGAGTGAGGTCAGGGAGAGAGGAGAGGATGATTCACTCTCGTAGATGTTCTGTGAAGGAGATACGAAGTTGACTGTCGAGTTTGATGGCGAAATGAGCGCAGGACAAGGAGTTTGTAGGTAGATAATGGGCAAATGGAAGCAAAAGCATAGGACGAGGCCTGTACTGCCCTCCAATGTGAAGCACTGAAAGGGTTTGGAGAAGAAAAGAGGAGATGATTTCATTCTGTTTGTTCCCTTAGCATGAGAGTAGCAGATTCGCTCGGTGGTTGGGAACGATTTCGAAGACGTCATGTAGTCAGCAAGACAGCGGCTAAAGGGTAGGGATGGAAGAGCTGGGGTTGGTCTTGGGAACGGCTGCATATGTTCACAGTGAAGGAAACATGTTGATACGTTCCTGCATCTCTCATGCTTGTTTTGTTCCAGGGTATGAGACGGAAATGCACATTTCCAAGAGCATATAGCGCATCCGTACGCAAGAAAGCGAGTATAACAAGTACAAGTCTGAGGAGCATATAAGGCGGGAGAAGCAGCATCATGGCTCCGAAGAGAGCTGCCTCGAGAAGTGAGGAAGGAGGAGTGAGCTTGAAGCGAGTGAAGGACGAGGAGAAGAATGGCAGGGCTGAGGTCGCTGGTACAATCAACGAGCGGGACCTGGCGAGGCTGGGGGAGGCAACGGCCCTCGGCGCGGCCAAGGCGGCGACAGGGGGAGACAGAGGAAGCAGCAACGAGATTGGCTCCATCCTCTCGGGACAGGCGAGCGCAGTGGCAGACTACACGGCAGCGATCAATCTGTTCTCCCTCAACGCAACTGGTGCTCACCCGTTCCACAAGGCACTCGCGCCCCACCCGTTCGTGCAAGTGGGAGCAGTCCCTCCCCCCAACCTCCCGATGCCCATCAGCACAGTCCCACTCGGCAACGGGCTCAAGGCCTCCATCTCCCCGGAGATCCGGTCGATGGAGGAGGCAGCGGGAGGAGCGTACGGGGGGGTCCTGCCCTCCTTCAAGCATCTCCCTTCCGCACTCTCAGCACAGTTCTCAGGCTCCTACGGGACTGCTGTCCTCTCTCTCCCTCACTACCTCTCCAACAGCAACCTGACGGCTCTGACCGGCATCGACAAGACCCTCCCTGCTCAGTCGTTCCCCTCCAACGGCCTGCACAGCCCAGCCATGGCGGAGGCGGCGAAGGCTCTGAAACCCAGCCCTTCGCTGAGCAGGATGGAGAGCAAGGGAGATACCTCGAGCAATCGATCACACGGGCCGTCGATGGACAGGTACGAGGCAGAGGAAGAGGAGGCAGATGATGATGATGATGGTGATGATGACGATGATGATGGTGGTGATGGTGATGGTGATAACGATGATAGAAAGTGAACTGGACTGCAGGTACAAGAACAGGTGGTCGGATGACGAGATCCAGTCTCTCAAGAAGGGAGTCGCTCGTTTCGAGAAGAAGAACAAAAAGAAAGGGGAGGACAACAGCTCGGACAAGGGCAGGGGGGAGCAGGGAAAGAAAGGGGAGACAGAACATATGTGGGAGCATATCCTCAAGAGGTGATGGTCTTACCCTCGCCCTCCGCCGCTGACCCTGTTGCAGCTACAAGTTCCAGTCTTGCAGGACAGCAAGAGACCTCAAGGACAAGTGGAGGCAACTGAAGAAGAAGGAACAAGACGACATGCTGGGGGTAAGCGGAAACAATCCTGCTCCTGCTCCTGCTCCTGCTCCTGCTCCTGCTCCTGCTCCTGCTCCTGCTCCTGCTCTTGCTCATCCCTCCTTTTCCCCTCCCATCTTCTTCCTCCTTCCTCTCTCATCTTTCTTTCACCTCCTCTACCTCCTTCCATCTCTTTCTCTTGCCGTGTCTTCTGTCCGTTCTCCCCTTTCACCTCTGTTCATCCTATCCTCCACCCCTCTCCTCCCCCCATCTCCACCTCTTTCCCTCCATCTCCTCCCTTCTCCTCCTCTTCTTCGATCTCACCAGCCCTTCAGGTTCGCGAGGAGGCGAGGAGGCTGCGCATGTTGGCGGTTGGGACCGGACGCAGCAGCGCGAGCAGCAGCAACACAAGCCAAGGGAACGGGCATAGCGGCGATAATGGCAGCAGCACCAGCAGCAGCAACGGGCATACGGCCAACACTGAGAGGGTAAGGAGAAGGAGAAGGAGAAGGAGGGGAGATAAGGGAGGAGGGGGGGAGGGGAAGGAGATACTTGGGGAGAGGAGATGGGAAAGTTGGAGAGGGATTGAGGAGGAGCTGCTGCTCAGTAGCAGGAGATGCTTGCTGACATTTTTCTCCTCGCAGGCGGAAAATCAGCTTGACAGTCCCGGCCAGACCTCCTCCTCCCCCCCGGCAGGGATGTCTTCCTCCGGGTCCACCAGCTCCCCAGCTCCTGTCGCCACGTCTTCGAGCAAGGGGCAGCAGGCGGAGAGCAAGGAGAGAAACTCTTCTCCCTCAAGCTCGAGCACGTCGGACCCCTCCAAGAACTCGTACATCGGGGGTGGGGTAGAAGAGAAGTGCAGGTCACAGGAGCAGAGCACGACGACCAACTCGAGCGAGAGCGGAGGAGTCGAGGGTCACAGCGAGGGGAGCGGGCAGGGGGAGGTGGCAAGCAGCGACATGAGCGGAGGAGGAGAGGGAGGGAGCGAGGGAGGAGAGGGAGGGAGCGACGGGGTGGGCTGCGGGAGCGAGGAGACGGGGGGGAGCGCGGTTGGGAGTTCTGGGATCGAGGGAGGGAGCGAGGGGAGCGGAGGAGCGGAGGGGGGGAGCGACGGGGGGAGCGAGTGGCGGGAGGACGAGTACTCTGCAGCGATGGAGACGGGGGAGAACGAGCCGGAGATGGAGAAGACGAGGAGGAGGAAACGAGCAACTTCATGCTCGGGGCAGGAGGACAGGACGATAGGATGGGAGGAGAGCGGAGATACTGACTGGGCGCTGGCAATCGACATGGGATCGACATGCGTGCGCGTTTCGGTGAGTAGAGGGAGGATGAAGAGGAGGAGGAGATCAATAAGAGAGATGGTGGGGTGGGAGGAGAAGGAGGAGGAGGAGGAGAACAAGGAAGGAAAGGAGGAAGGGAGAAGAGAACAGTGAAGGAGGAGTTCATAGGAGATCATTTCAAGGAGTCTTACACTAGCTGGCAGCTCGTCGGCAAGGACGGGAGGCTGCTCGCTGGAGTGGAGGGGCAGAGGAGAGTCATCATGGACCTTCGCTCCCGCACCTTCTCAGCTGAGGAGTACCTGGCGGCCGCGTTCGCAGCTCTGGATGACACGCTCCTGCTCCTCCGCAAGCGCAACGCCATCATGAGCAGCTCAACGGGGAGGCAAGCTGAGATCTCGCTCTCCCCCCGCGCTGCCTCGCCCAAGGTCGCCAGCATCTCCTGCTTCGCCATGTCGCTCGTGGGACTCGGGGAGGGAGGGACGGCAGTCACGCCCATCTACACCTACGCTGATGCTCGAAACTCCGCGTGAGACCCTGTTGCTCCTGCTGCTCCTCCTCCTCCTCCTCCTCCTTCCGCTCTGTCTTCCTCTCTTTCTTCTTCTTCTTCTTCTTCTTCCTCCTCCTCCTCCTCCCTCCTCCTCCTCCCTCCTCCCTCCTCCTCTTCCTCCCTCCTCCCTCCTCCTCTTCCTCCCTCCTCCTCCTTCTCCTTCCTCGCTTTCTTCCACCTCTTACGTCCTCTCCTCTCCAGGTTCGCCAGCGAGCTCAAGCGCAAGCTAGCAGAGGAAGGCTCTCTCGACTTTGTGGAGAGAAGGACAGCACCGTTACAGTCCTGCTATGCTCCAGCTCTCTTCATGCGCCTCAAGCAGAGCGGAATCGACGCTGTACAGCCGGTGACTCTCCCTCCTACATCTCCTCCTCCTTCCCCTCCCCCTCCCCTCCTCCTCCTCCCCATCCTTCTCCACCACCTCCTCCTCCTGCACCGCCTCCTCTTCTCTTTTCATTCTCGTCCAGGTCAAGTCATGGAGCACTCTTTCCGGCTACTTCCTTTCTCAGCTCATCGGCAAATTTCAACCGGTCAGCAGCAGCACACCATCATCATCCTCCCTCCTCCTGCTCCTCTTCTCTTTTTCTCTTCCCTCCTCCTCACTTGCTCCCTCCTCCTCTTCCCTTTCTCTCTCTGACCCCGAGCAGGTGACCTTCTCGGAGGCGAGCTGGACGGGGCTGCTGGACAGGGAGGAGCTACAATGGCACCAGGGTCTCCTCAACCTACTCGGGGTCTCCCTCTCCTCCCTTCCTCCTCTCTGCGACGCCGACGATCTCTCCTTCGATCCTCTCCTCCCCTCCTTCGCTCAGCGCTGGCCCGAGCTCTCCCGCGTGCCGTGGGCTCGGGGGATCAGTGAAGGAGCAGCGGCGAGCGTCGGGACAGGATGCGAGAGCAGAGCAAAGCTCTGCATCGCACTGGGGACCAACGCGGCCCTGCGCGTCTGCATCCCCTGTCGGGACAGGAGGAAGCCTGCGAGCAAGGGGAGCGGAGGTCACAAGGGAGGAGGGAGGAGCGAGCACTGGAAGCTGAGCAAGGCGGGGATGAAGCACAAGGAGGAGGCGGAGGTCGCGGAAGTGCCCAGGGGCTTGTGGTGCTACTCGGTCAAGCGGGACATGCAGATCGCGGGAGGGACGCTGATCGATGGAGGAAGCATCTACGCGTGGGGGCTGGAGCAGTTTGCTGGTGAGGAGGGAGGAGGGGAGTGGGGGAGGAGAGTGAGGAGGAGGAGGAGGGAAGGTGAGAAGAGGAGGAAGAAAAGGAGGAAGAGGAGGAGGTTGAAGGGGGGGACGAGGGAGGAGGAGGAGTGAAATTTTGTCTCTCAGGAGGTCTTGAGGGGATGGCTCGCCTTCAGGAAGAGGCTTCGGCCATGGACGCTGACTCGCACGGCTTGACGGTCCTCCCTTTCTTTAATGGGGGATCGAGCACGGTAAGGAGGAGGAGGAGGAGGAAGAGGGAAAAATGATAATGATAATGATGATGATGGTTGTAATGATAATGATAATGATGATGACGACGACGAGGAGGAGGAAGAGGAGGAAGCGGAGGAGGAGGCAACCTGATTCGTCGTCCAGGGTTTTCGGGACGGCGCTACGGGGACAGTGACTGGCATGACGCTCAAGACAAGCAGGGCAGACATTCTGAGAGCGATCATGGAGTCAGTCGCCCTCAGACTCCGCGGGATGTTCAACGCGATCCGCCCCCTCATGAACGAGAACGGGCTAGAGGTCAGACAGAGCCCTCCTGTTCCTCCCTCCTCCTCCTCCTCCTCCTCCTCCTCCTCCTCCTCCCTCCTGTTCCTCCCTCCTCCTCCTCCTCCTCCTCCTCCTCCTCCTCCCTCCTCCTCCTCCTGCTGCTGACGTCCAGCAGGTCTATGCTACGGGGGACGCGCTCTTCAAGTCTCCTCTCTGGCAGCAGATCCTCGCCGACTCCTTCGCCCTCCCCATCCGCATCCTTTCAGGCGCGACGGTCGCAGCGAGCAGAGGAGCCGCCATTCTAGCGGTGAGAGAGAAGAGGAGGAGGAGGAGGAGATGGTAGTCAAAGGCTGGCTTCTGATCGCTTGCTCGCAGTGGAGATCAATCGGGGAGGAGGCGACGGTGGAGCAGAAGGCAGAGACGACGGTGATGCCCGTTCCCTCCAGCGTTGCCGCGCTGGCCATGGCGTTCGAGCGGCAGGAGGCGCTGTTCAACCGCCTGCATCGCTCGTAGGGACTTGTAAGTTAGGATAGAGCAAGTAGGAGGCTGAGAGACGCCTCTTGTTTCATAGGAGCAATCATGAAGAACATGTAATAAGAACGAACTGCTTTCCAGCAAACACCTGCTGCTGCCGCTGTGCTTCTAAAGTTGTTTCCTTCTACCTCTTCTATTATCACTTCTAGACACGCCTCTCTCCTCCATCTCCTCTCCTCCTCCTCATCGCTCGCTTACTCCCAGCATGAAGTTGGTGAAGGGCAGCCTCATCGAAGTCCCTCCCTCCTTCAAGTTCCACACCGACAGCAGCCTTCCGCACCCTGGGGAGGAGGCGACAAACTTCACCAGCCATGACCCCAGAGCGCGGAAGTCAGAGCTCGCATGCCTGTGGCTCGACTCTCCCTCGAAGCTGACGATGACAAGCTGCGGCTGGCAGCTCCTCATCTGCTTCTCCAGCCCCTCCAGCTTCTTCCGCATCTCCTGCGGCTGCGCCGGGTCCTGCAAGCCGAACACCGTGACGTCAGCATCGGCCAGCAGTGCGTCTGGGAAGCTGCTGCCTATGGCGTCGAGGACCAGCACGCTGCCGAGCCAGCTGTACCTCGTCCTCGCGTACAGGATGGCGAAAGAGAGGGGGAGAAAGTCGCCCGGGGCTCCCTGCTCAGTGCCCACGAACTTGGAGAAGATGGCGGCGGCATGTGCAGCGGAGGAGGAGCAGAGGCTGTCGATGCCTTGGAATAGGCAGCCCATGATGTTGCTGGTGGAGGACTGGGAGAGGCTCGATCCGAAGCTCCTCCGCAGCTCCTGCAACTCCTCCTCCTCCTCCCGCTCGCAGCTGCTGACGTCCACTCGCGCCATCGACGGAGCCTTTTCGGGACACTTACGCCATCCGTCAAGGCAGGCGCTGACAACGATGGAACAGCGCTCGGCCGAAAGACAGTCCTTGGGGTACAGGACGAGAGAGAGGGCAGGAGGCTGAGTCTGCGTCTCTTCCACCTGTCCAAGAGCATGAGCAAGCACAAGGCAAGAACTGTCTGTCCTACCTCCACACGTGCGATGTCACGGTAGACAGAGGTGAAGAGCTGGTCTATAGACGAGATCAGGCTCCTGGACAGTTGGCCGAGGGACTGCTGGGGCTCACTCGAGCTGCCCGGCTCGTCTTGAGTGAGCAGCACAAGGAACGCCGCGGCATGCCGCAGCTTCGCATGCCTCGCTTTGGTTGTCCTCACCTTGTCTGTGAAAAACTGCTTGTACTTAGATATGAGAAGTTTCCTTAAGCCAACTTGTCAGTCCACGAGCAGGAGGGGAACTGACAGTCCCACCGCTGAGCATCTGACAGCGCGTCCGCTCCTCCCTCTTCTTCTATCGCGCTCTGATCCCGCGCCTTGTAGTGCTCCATCAAACGAGTCAGAGCTTCCCTGTTCCCACCACAGTCAGCTACCTCTACCTCCACCTCCACCTCCCTCGTTTCACTTGTCCTCTTTGATGGCCTCATGCTCCTTCTGCAGGGCGTTGACCAGCACCTCGTTGCACTTGGACTTGAGGAACTCCTGCGTCTCCTTGAAGAAGTCCGCCATGTGACAGATGAGACTGAGTTGGTCCCCTGATACGCTCAAGTTCTGTAGCGCTCTGTTGAGCTCCGTCCTGCTCACGTTCAGCTGCAACGAGACTGCTCGCAGCTCTGGCTGGTCCATGTTCGGGGCCTCTGGCTCTTGACTCGGTCGAGCATCGTCGGTGGACTTGGAGGCAGCGGCCGTGTCGCCTTCCTGCATCAGCCTCTCCACCAGCTCCTTCTGCCTTGCGATCTCGGCGTTGACCTGGGCGATGGATCGCTTGACCCTCTCCTCCTCGGACTTGAGCTCTAGCAGCGCTTGCTTCGACTTGTTCAGCTCGACCTTGTGTCTGTCTGCAACCATCTGCTCTCGCCTCCTCGCGTCCTCCACCTCCTTCCTCCTCGCCTCGTACTCCTCTCGCTTCTGGTCCACCTTGGTCGCCATCTGCTGCGCGTACGCCACGAACCTATCCTCCACGTTCTCAGCTCCCTCTGACATCTTGAACTCGATGTCGAACGCCATGGCGACACATTCTTTGAGCGGCAGGTCGTTGAACTTGCCAAGATCCCTGAGGGTCTCGATGAACCTCTTGGGGAAGACCGACTGATGCATCATGCTCAGGATGGTGGCGTCGCCCGTGTACGTCTCTGAAGTTATCTCCTTGTGCACTTGCATGATCTCTGACACAACCTTGGCACAAGATCTCCTGCCACACTCACAGATCAGTATATCGAATTTGGTATGCATGCGAGTCTGTACTTGTCAAGGAACTCCGATGAAGCCTGAACAGCATCTGCCCAGTTCTCCAATGCCTTCAGGATGTCATCTACTGCAACTCCCTCTGGAAGCTGCATGCTCGCTTGAGCATGATCGTCCGATGCCTGAAAGGAAGGCGGTTTTACACGCTCCCTAGAGTGCTGGGACTCTAGATCAAATGAACTCTGAGATCTGTGATGAAATCAGAACAGAGAGAAGCATCATAACAACAGCGAACCTGCTCTGTTCTGGCACGTTGACCATAGATGGCGCATCTACAATCATTTCCTCACCGTTCTCGCCATGTTCCAGTCCTGCCATCGACGCCATAGTTTGCTCAAGGTACCTCCAAATTATCCTCACAGGAGAATCGCGACGCTCGCTTGCTTTGGTGACAACCTGAAGGCTTCTTCTTCCTCTCAAGTCGATCTTGTGCTCCTTCCTCCGTCCTCTCCTCTCCTCTCGCTCCCTTCGCCTTCCCCGCTCCTCTCCTTATCTCCCGCCATTCCTCATGCCGCGCCCACCTCAGGTTCTGGATTTGTGGCCCATGTCCCTCATCCCCGCACATACCCGGCCCTGCCGCGACCGGCGGACCGGGCCACGGGCAGCCAGCCGGGCAGCCCAGTGACCGGGCGGTTGGAGTTGAGGCCAAGTCCTTGAGCTGTCGAACTCGGAAAGAGGATCCGGTCGATCGACACGAAGCTCGAAGACACTGGAATCTTGAAGACGCAAGCGATCTGTCAGTTCAATGAAAGGAATGTTCGACGTTGAGAGCCACACGAGAGTCACTGTGAGGGCGAAGATGTTGATCGAGGGCATCGCGAGCGGCTTCCATGTGCACTTGGACGGCTCCGCGAATGGCGTCGGGATCATCAGACGAGTTGGAAAGGGCAGGAAGAGCCATTTGAGTTTTGACATGGCGGCCAAAAAGAATCTCGAATGGTGCAAGGCTGTTGAACGTTTGACAGAAGAATCGTAATGCATCTCGAAGAGAGGAAGAGCAAGAGTTCGAAAAGTCCAGAAGGCAGAAGAATCGTAATAGTCCAGAAGGCAGAAAAGAAGATTTTTGCATGACCTGAAATGATTTCGTTGGGAAGGCCTTGGTTGGTACAGACTTTCGAAACGAAAAGATCGGCAGCTTGTTGAGAGGTGAGAGTTCTCGAGTCGTAGTGAGAACGAGTCGGCGGGAAGCCGGAAACAACATCGATGGAAATTGTAGCAAAACGATCAGATGGAGCTGCTTAACTGTGCGAAGGGCTCATCTACGGCTTGCGATAAGTTTTGTACCGAATGCAAGATTGACAGGAAAGAATGTAGCGTTCAACTTGTTGACAGGAACAAGAGCCAAATATGTTCGAGAGAATCCACGATGACTGTGAAGGTCATGGGCACGGTAGAGAACTTCCTTGCGAACAGATTGAGGAATGCAAATGCGTTGCCGGTGAAGACTATCTGTTAGAATCAGGAGATGGTTAGTAACTGCTGGATGGATTGTAGAACATGTACGATTGCATCGTGAAGAGATTGGACGCGAGAAACATTGTCACCAGGAACATCGAGAGCGAGAAGATGATGAAAATCTTGATCCTCTGAATGCAAGATTGCATCGGTGCGTGGAGGTGTCCGGGTACTGGCGGCTGAGGGCGTCAGGGACAACATTGCCGGTACCTTTCACGTGCGCGATCTCGACGATAGAGAATTCACTGAGAGTTTCTAGCCAGCGGCGAAGACGACCTTTGAGATCCTTTTGGGTTTGAAAGTACGTGAGAGCCTTGCGATCAGTACGAATCTTTGATGGCCAAGAGTTCACGTTAAGTGGTTTGATAGTTTCTTTCTGCATCAGTTAAGAGGCGACTGTAGAATCCAATGACTTCCTCCTTCTTGTCAGCGTCGTACTGAAGAAGAACACCGCCGAGAGCTGTGTTTGAGGCGTCGGTGTGAACATCTGTCCTAAGCGCAGGATCAAAGTGAGAGAGAATTGGGGAGGAGGTTAACCGGTGTTTGAGAAGATCAAAGGCTTGCTGAAACTCGGGTGTCCATTGAAAGACAACATGCTTACGAAGAAGAGCATGAAGAGGAGCAGCAATGTGAGCATAGTTGCGAATAAAGCGACGATAGTAGCCGGAGAGCTCAAGAAATATTTTGATCTCCTTGGCGTTGCTGGGTGGTGGCCAGTCAAGGATCGCACTGGTCTTGCTGGATTGGGTCGATATGCCATCGGCGGAGATTTGATGACCGAGGAACTCGACACTATCTTGAAAGAGCTTGACTTTTGATTTCTTCAGGTAAACTTGATTCTCGCGACATCGCAGAAGAACACGACAAAGAGTGTTGAGGTGTTGATCAAACGTACCGAAATCAAGGATGAGCAAGTCATCAATGTACGGAAATACACTGGTAATATCACGAAAGAGAAGGGTAATCCATTCTTGGAAAATGTTGCTGGCGTGAATGTAGCCAAAGGGAAGATTACGAAACTGATGTTTGCCGAATTTGGTGATGATGGCGACGTATTTGCGATGATCAGGGGCAACAGGGATTTGCCAAAAACCGCGGAGAAGATCGAGAGCTGAAATCCAAAGTTTGTATTCAGAAGGGTGCAAGAAACGCTTGGATTTGCGAATGACCTCGGCGACAGATTCCAACATCTCCTCAGGGTTAGGAGCCTGTGGGTATCGTGGGTTGCTGTTGACCATGGCGTTGAGTTTTCTCAAGTCAGTGCAAAGACGATAGCTGGATGGATCTGTAGGAGATCGAGGGCGTCGGCCGCTCCTTGATCTTCTCCCGCCAGCACTCTCGCATGATCGCATACACTGCTGGAGGGCATGCAGCAGGAGCCGCTAGTCGCTCCCCGTCCACAACCTTGGGTCCTACAAGCTCATCGTCGGTGATGGCCCAGTAAGGGACTTTGCCGTAAGTCCAGACCTCCCACAGCGTCACCCCGAACGCCCACACGAGGAAACGAAGGAGGCAGCGAAAACCGCTACTCCAACCACGCAAGCCTCGGCATGCACGACTAGCAGGGGAACAAGGATCAGGACAAAGAGCAGTAGCGCAAGGCCCCTGCGAGGAGGACGGCAAGACCCATACGAGAGCGATACTGCCGAAACAGACGAGCACGCAAACGATGAAAGCCAGGGTCCCCATACACCGCCTCCTGAGCGCATCCATCCCACTCCGCTGTCAGCGTAGCTCCATGGTGATCCGCCAGGTAGTCAGTCAGCATGAAGAAGACCATCCGTACCCGCAGTGAAGGGAAGAAAGGCCTTCGGCGGGTGATGGGTGCCAGTCCGGTTGTAGGGATGAGTCATCATGAAGTCCAGAACCAGCCCATTCCAGGTGTGGGTGGAGAGGCCAGGGAGCCAGAGGTCGCCCATGTGTCGCTTCCCGGTGACACAGATGTCGCGAAGAGCCACAGTACACTGCTCATGTGCGGTGGTCCAGAGAGCGGTGAGCGCGATGACGACAATTGGCCAAATGAGAGACACTGCTTCCCGCCGATGGATCCAGAGCTGTAGCACAACGATCACAGGTGGGAGGCAGCCTAGCCGGGGGTAGCCCATGCAGGAAGCGATCGACCCCTCGTTAGAAGGGTGAACGTTGGTGGCCTCCATCATAGGGTACTGCAAGCGACGCTGTGGGTTTTGAGTCTTCCGAAGGAGGGGCTCCAGGGGGAACGGGGTAGAAGACTGACTCGCTGACTCTGGGGGATAGAGCTGCACAGTGTAGCTGCCATGAGCCTAAACCCTAAACCCCGGAGGAGAGCTGCCTGAACCTGAGACAATTGCGCCCGCCGCTCAAGATGAGGGGGAAAAGTCTGCATCAACCGTCCAGTGACTGAGCGCTGGGGGGGGAGAAAAGGAGGTCCGCCCGCAAGTTGAAAGAGCGCTGGAGATGGGATCGAACTCCGACATCCCATCTGACTGTGCCAACGGGAAAGTCCGCTGCCTGTAAAGATGCAAGCCATTCCTGGGAAGATACCGGGGAAGCCGAACGCAACAACCCGTGGCCCGACGACGGCGGCGGGGGGACGGCCCGGCCCTGGCGTTAGAAGAGCTGGGCGGCGCCCGCCTTGCCGACGGCGAAGACCTTGAAGCCTCGGCCTCAGAGGGAGGCAGAGGGGCTCTGCTGGATGGAGGAGCTGTGAGCAAAGAGGCAGTGCTGATACACGTCTGTCTGATAGGTGTGCGACCGCCGAAAGGCTGTACGAAGCCTCTGAATCAGCACTGACTTGGCTCATCGGACAGCGGAGGAGTAGGTGGAGCCTCTGGCTCCGAGGGTCTGGCAGATGGGGGGTCCAAGGTAGCACCAGAACCTGTAGTAGATGAAGCTAAAGTCGTACCAGTGTTGCCAACGGAAAGATGATCGTTCGATGAAGAGGGCCCTCCTGATACCTCAGGGTCTCTGATAGGAGTTACTTGAGCGGTTACCGTCTAATTCAGTTAACCGTAGCTTAAGCTATCCATCGGTTATTATAAATCTATCCAAAAGCTTCCTATACGTTCAAGTTGGTTCAAGTTCATACTACCGGGTTGAAAGTACATCATCAGAATTGTCAATCCCTAACATTCGTAGCGTAAGGTTTGGTTTTTGTTTGAAGTAATTGCGGATTACGACAATTTGATTTCATCGAAAAGGAACTTGAAAGGCAACCTCTGGACATGCAATCGGATGTAGGAAGGACAAGAAGGTCTCCTGGAGATGGTCCTCTTGGGAGTTCAGGCTTGGCAACAATGCTTGACAACTTCAGAAGGATCTGAACATCCGAATGTTCAGGGCTGATGCAATATGCATGCAGAATGATGAGAGCATGTCGACGACACTACATGTTGATGCATCAAACAAGTTTGTTAAGCCAACTCCCCTGGCGAAATTTCATTCCACTGATATTTCTCGATTTAATGGAGAAATGACGCTAGAGTATTCTGTTGCCAGTTGGTTTGGGGAACTTGACCAGCAGGTAGATATTGCCACCACGCTGGTAGGAAACAGGGTACGAGATTGGATGCTCACTTTGCGTGGAAACAACAAGCAAGCTGTCGATCGTGGTCCCTGGTAAGAATTTAAGAAAATCATGGTCGCAGAATACCTTCCATACTCTCAGGTTCAAAACATTTTGAATCAAATAACTTATACTAAACAAGTCAGTAAGGAAAGGATCAGCAATTTCGTCGATCGTTTCTCAGCATTGGCAAATCATTATATTGCTTGTTGTATGACAGCTGAGAACGAGGCGGAATACATGAGCACGGCATGTACCAAATTTGGCTTAGAACGATACTTCGTGCAGAATTTGTCGAGTGAAGTAACAGCTAGTTTTGTACGGAAACTACTACTTTCGCTTGACAAGGAAAACGCTACATGTTGCCCGAGCTGTACCGCGAGGCAAAAGCTCTGAATGTGGCGCGATCGTTTACCGCGTCTTCGCAAGAAAGAGGTCACGTCGGATCTAGGGCAGTGAATGCGATCAGTGGTAAGAGCTAAACCCCTGAGGTCGTCTCTCATCAGCTGACACTGTATTTGATCCAGGGGTAGTACCTCCAGATGCTGAAAGCAGAAATGTTGTGGTATGCAAGATGACGAGTACAGCTCAAACGTACAAGTTGCCGTGCGTACCGCTTGAAATCAACGTATTGGGGAAGACTTTTACTTTAATCGCACTGCTAGACAGTGGGGCAGAAGAGAATTTCATCTCAGTGGAATGTATGAAGCGTATTGGTTCGCAAGGTCGACAGGCAAAAGATCAAATTCTCTCAGTTTTCATGGCTGATGGAACCATTCGAATCTTGATGCAGAGAATTTTCGAGTTTACGCACGATACCAGGACGCTGTTGTGGATTTGCCTACATGCTTATGCAAAAAAGGAGCGTGGCGGGCGGTGAGCGACCCGCTGCTGGGGTGCGCCCCGCTGTCTTGGGGTGGCAACCTCCTGCAATGCATGGGGAGGGGAGCGTGAGCCGACCCGTTGTTTTTTCTCTCCGCCGATTCATATAAATGGGGTGAGGGGGAGAGTGGGGTCAAGAGGATATTGTGGCATGGCTCCGCGAATGGCGTCGGGATCATCAGACGAGTTGGAAAGGGCAGGAAGAGCCATTTGAGTTTTGACATTGCGGCCATAAACAATCTCGAATGGCGCAAGGCTTGTTCAACGTTTGACGGAAGAATCGTAATTCATCTCGAAGAGAGGAAGAGCAAGAGTTCGAAACGTTTAGTCCAGAAGGCAGGAGAGAAGATTTTTGCATGACCTGAAATGATTTCGTTGCGAAGGCCTTGGTTGGCACCGACTTTCGAAACGAAAAGATCGGCAGCTTGTTGAGAGGTGAGAGTTCTCGAGTCGTAGTGAGAACGAGTCGGCGGGAAGCCGGAAACAACATCGATGGAAATTGTAGCAAAACGATCAGATGGAGCTGCTTAACTGTGCGAAGGGCTCATCTGCGGCTTGCGATAAGTTTTGTACCGAATGCAAGATTGACAGGAAAGAATGTAGCGTTCAACTTGTTGACAGGAACAAGAGCCATATATGTTCGAGAGAATCCACGATGACTGTGAAGGTCATGGGCACGGTAGAGAACTTCCTTGCTAACAGATTGAGGAATGCAAATGCGTTGCCGGTGAAGACTATCTGTTAAAATCAGGAGATGGTTAGCAACTGCTGGATGGATTGTAGAACATGTACGATTGCATCGTGAAGAGATTGGACGCGAGAAACATTGTCACCAGGAACATCGAGAGCGAGAAGATGATGAAAATCTTGATCCTCTGAATGCAAGATTGCATCGGCACGTGGAGGTGTCCGGGTACTGGCGGCTGAGGGCGTCAGGGACAACATTGTCGGTACCTTTCACGTGCGCGATCTCGACGATAGAGAATTCGAGCTTCAGCTGAGAAGATGAAATGAGAACAAAGAAGATGAAATGAGAACAAAGAAGATGAAATGAGAACAAAGAAGATGAAATGAGAACAAAGAAGATGAAATGAGAACAAAGAAGATGAAATGAGAACAAAGAAGATGAAATGAGAACAAAGAAGATGAAATGAGAACAAAGAAGATGAAATGAGAACAAAGAAGATGAAATGAGAACAAAGAAGATGAAATGAGAACAAAGAAGATGAAATGAGAACAAAGAAGATGAAATGAGAACAAAGAAGATGAAATGAGAACAAAGAAGATGAAATGAGAACAAAGAAGATGAAATGAGAACAAAGAAGATGAAATGAGAACAAAGAAGATGAAATGAGAACAAAGAAGATGAAATGAGAACAAAGAAGATGAAATGAGAACAAAGAAGATGAAATGAGAACAAAGAAGATGAAATGAGAGCAAAGCTGGGGCTCCATAGAAGAAGAAATCATGTTCGTCGTCGAACTGCGAGAACCGAGAGCATGACCTGCGGTACCCTATTCCTGAGGCGGAGGATCAGCAGGAGGCTGAGCTCGTGCTGACGAGGACGAAGAGACTGTCCCAGGAGGAGCAGAAGCGGGAGCAACTGCGGGGGAATGCATGACGGGAGAGCCCGGGCCAGGAGCGGGAGCACCATTCTGAAGGAGAGCCGTGATGGCATGGAGGATGGCGGCTTGACTCGCTGGAGGATGGCAGGGCTGTGACACCGAGGAAGAAGCATTGCGATCAGCTTGCTTTTTCTTGTGGCAGTACTTCAACGTGTGTCCGGAACATTTGCAGTACGTGCAGAAATAATTCGGTCGAGGACCGGAGGACTGTGCAGGAGCTGTGGAGGGCTGAGCTCCTGGCGTCGACGGAGAGGGTTGAAGGGCACAAAGAGGCTGGGGAGCAGGAACCGAAGAAGACGGTTTGCTAAAAGCGACATCGTGGCAGCCGTAGGAGGGTGGATGTGCGGCATAGGAACCATGACGAGTTTGAGATGAGGGTCGAGGAAACCATTGGCAAATTGTTGAAGAAGACTGGGCTCTTGAAATACGACAGCCTCAGATTTGTAGAGCAAACGTTCGTCAGTACAACGTTGCGTGCGAAGAGTATAATCAGTGATCGATTCGTTGAAGGAACTATTCGTGAAGAGGACGATCGTGAGACATGCGTTGAAGAACAGCGTCGTCAAGAAAGGTCGTCGTATAGTAAACCCATAGGTTGCCGGGGATGCGTTGAACCGACATAGGACGTCCCATCTGAGAGAGCCAGCTGTGAATGCTTCGAGAGTCAGCCTGACCAAGAAAGGGGATGATGGACGTTCGGGCTGAAATTTCAAGAGAGGCTGAAGACTTCAGCAACCAACGGTATACCCAAGTTAAAAACAGATAGCTGATTCTGGGAGAGATTCACCAAGACCTACTAAGTGACGCCAGCCAGTTGGAGCCTGAAGAGAGCTGAGAAAGTTTGGAGGAGGAAGAAGGAAGGAGAGAGTGGAAGGGATTGGGAGGAGAAGAGAACTGGGCGATAAGAGCCCCCTGTCTCTGATTTACTAGGGACTGAAGGGCTGCAGATTCTTCTAGATGCTTTCCTGAAACAAGGACGTATCAGATCCGAGCACAAGGACGTATCCATTGATCACAGATCTGAGTCATCCCCCTCCTCAGTTGAAATAGCTGGAGACGACTCACTGACCTCATCCCGAGAACAGAAAGTAGACAGAACGATGAACGAATGTGCTGAGAGATTCTTCATGTTTCTTATGCAACTGTCTTGTTAGCGCCTTGGTGAAAATGTCGGCTGTGTTATCTGTACTCCGGATGTAGGAAACAGAAATAGCATTTGAATCTTGAAGTTGTCTGGCATAAAAGATCTTCATGTCAATGTTCTTCACCTGTGTGACATAACCTGAATTAAGAGTGAATGCAATAGCTGCGTTATTGTCACAAACACAGGAATGGGAAGAACTTGCAACTGATCATCTTCACAATCACGCAAAACGAAAAGTAGGCTTTGAGTTCTGCGCCAAGCAGAGACAACGCGGCATACTCGGCAGCAGCTGTAGAGAGAGAGATGGTAGGAAGTTTCTTTGACTTGAAGCCAATAACAGCATTGCGATAGAAGATTGCCCATCCCGCTTGACTGTACATCACTTCCCCAATTGGAATCAGAGCAAGCAGAAATGAGATTGTCTGCTGGACAAGATGATGAACTGGAAGAGGAAAAGTTGTATTCCAAAGCTGAATCCTTTTGTAGTTAAGATATCCCAGCAACTGAGACAGAGCACAAAGATGATCTTGAGTTGGGGAATCAAGATATTGAGAAAGTTCAGACAAGACAAAACTGAGGTCTGGTCGTGTTAAGGTAGCAAGAAAATTGAGCTTGCCGATGGCTTTGCGATAATGTTTGAAAGGGTTTAGGGGAGTCGAAAAAGCACTTGAGAGGACTGGTGTGAATCTCTTCTAAGAGCTCTCTGACATACTTGGACTCAGATATTCAACTTTCAAGGCTTGAATATCTGGAGCTCTCCATCACTGCTACCCGATCGTGGACAAGAAGAGGTCGATGTTTTCGAGTAAGAGAAGCAGAGGTATTCTCTCGTTTCCATGCATCAAGATATTCAGCATAGACTCGTGAAGGTGAGACATACAGTTCTCTATCATTGCGATCCAACGCATCCGCATACCGCTCACCTCGTCTTGTATGATTGCGATGGTGAAGGTCATAAATCGTGGGACAAACTGAAGGGGCATTTGAAGGAAGCATCTATAGAGTCTATCAATAGGTTTGTTAATAAGGCTCTGCAATATGCTCCAGCAGGCAACCCGGCATATTTTGCCTGTCAGAACGTTATGCATTACATCGTCATGTATGTGTATAGACCTCGATTGTCAAGCATGGCAGACGAATGTCTTAAAGATTTCCATTCTGGATTTTTATCCAAGACCAGAGAACACCTTTACAAAACATGACATCAATTTGGAAATGATGCACAAAACTATGCGTGATGATCTTTCTGATGGTATCAGCAGGAGAACTAAAACTAATTTGCTGTTCTTGATTTCACCGATGTCAGATTATGTCAAACGGACATTCGATATCCTTAAACCTTACAGGTATCTACAACATGATCTGGGTGAGGATGTTCTGCGTATCCATTTGACGTTCTGGTTGTATGTTCACGAGGTTCATGAGTTTTTAACGAAGAAATTATCCTAAACGTACCGACTTCTGTCATTAAATCATCGTCGTAAGGCTTGGCTGCCCGACGGGCCTGAGCCCCTTGCCCTCCCTCACGCTCGCGACCCCCACGAAGGAGTGCTCAAGGTGCCCCGATCCCACGACCCTGGAGATCTCCGCCCCTCCGGCGGTGCAGGTGAGCATGTCTCCATGGAAGCTCATGGCGCAGACGTTGGTCTCGTTCTGGACGGTCTGCTGCCCCGCCACCTTGCGGATCGCGTGGAGTTGGTTGAAGTTGGGGAGGACGGAGAGGTAGCGGTGGTACTGGTCCCTGTAGGGCTCGCGGTTGAGCACCCGCATCTCCGGCTTGACCGTGCTGTAGAGATTGTCGGGGTCGATGGCGAGGTTGATGTTGCCCTCCGCGGGGGGGTCGTAGAACACGATGGGGTTGGGCCATGGCTGCTTGATGTCCGTGAGTTGTTCGTGGTCCCCAAGGAATATGAAGGACATGACGAACATGTTCTTCCCCTCGTAGGGCTTGTCGATGGAGCTGTCTCGCTGGAACCTCTGCAGGTCGTGCCATCGGATCACCGAGTTGTCCATGCCGCCGTTGTAGCCGTCGAATCAGAGGCGGATAAGGTTGTGCTCGTTGTGGATCAGAGCCTTGGCGTTGTGGATCAGAGCCTTGGCGTGGTACTTGTACCATGTAATCCAGAACAGGTGCGTAGGTTTCATCATAGCTTCGTGTTTGGAACGTGTTGATTTTGAAAACAAGTTTGGAAAGTAGGACTTTAGCACCGGGGGGTGGGTGAGCAGTGGGAAGAGCTTCATGTACCCCCTTGTCTTGAAGCGCCTGAAGCCCCGTTACAATGCTCTTCATCCAAGCATCGCGTTGAGGGGATTGAAATGCCTGCCGCAGGTTCGAGAGTTACAGGGCAATGGCGGTGCCCCAGCATTCCGAGAAAACATGTAAACTGACGGATACTGTTTACCAGAACGAAGAAAACGAAGTGGGTTGAACACATCGCTCACGCAGCGAGCATGGGGAAAGGTATTACGGAATGCCTCCATGAAAGAATAACGGGCGCCTGACAATTGAATATCCAGGATCTTGCCAATGTCTTCAGAAATCGGGGCATCAACAAATTGGCATTCTATTTAGAACACTTTGTTGTGCTTGCCGGAGTCGCAGTGCTCTGGGCAGAAGAGAACTGTTCTATCATGAATCAAACGCTTAGCCAGATGCTGAGAAGACAGAGAGGAGAGGAAAGGACCATTGTCACTTACACAGACGCTGAGGAGACAGAGAGGAGAGGAAAGGACCATTGTCGTTTGTATCGATGTCGATATCAGGCTGATTATCGACGCGCAGAACGGTCAAGAGCAACATGATCCTCAGTGGAAACAGTCACAACAGTGACGTCACTTGATGGTATAACTCGAAGATCAGATAAGACCCTGGAGAACTTGGTTCGCAAGGAGAAAACTCTCTCGTCAAAACGAACGTTAGTTGAGGTATAAACTCGCCTTCATGCAGGGTGAAAGACAATATAGCCCTTGCGACCAAAACCCTTCGCTGAGCCGAGATAGACTTTTTCAATAACCGTACCTGACTCGGAGGGAGACTGTGACTGAACGTTGGACTGAGCTGATACAGGAACGGGAAGCTGATATGACCGAGGAGGTGATGGAACAGACGAACGAGGTGATCCTCGGGCACGGTTCACACCACCACATGATACTCGACGAGTAGATGAAGACCAGAAATGGTTGGGGCAGGGAATCGCGGGGTCGATGCTCTCCGCGCAGTAGTATCGCTCCGGGCAGACGTGACGCCATTGGGGAGAAGGTCCAAGGCTTACACGCACACTCCTCGACGTGTGAGATGTGCAAGGCTTACACGCACACTCCTCGACGTGTGAGATGTGCAAGGCTTACACGCACACTCCTCGACGTGTGAGATGCTCTGCTTGGTGTAAGTGCCGTTGGGGCAGGGCTCGATGCCATAGTGGAACAGATATTACACCCATCCCCCTGCTTGCCCATTTTGCTGTAGAAACCAACCACACAGCTTCACCCGATGGGAAACCCTGTTCCGCGATCGCTGTAACTGTGCTCGGGGCAGTCGTGCCTCGTGTCGTTGCGGCAGTACGAGCTCTCTTCTCGCTATACCCCTTCCTACACTCCCAGTAGAAGCTTCTCGCTATACCCCCTCCTACACTCCCAGTAGAAGCTTCTCGCTATACCCCCTCCTACACTCCCAGTAGAAGCTTCTCGCTATACCCCCTCCTACACTCCCAGTAGAAGCTTCTCGCTATACCCCCTCCTACACTCCCAGTAGAAGCTTCTCGCTATACCCCCTCCTACACTCCCAGTAGAAGCTTCTCGCTATACCCCCTCCTACACTCCCAGTAGAAGCTTCTCGCTATACCCCCTCCTACACTCCCAGTAGAAGCTTCTCGCTATACCCCCTCCTACACTCCCAGTAGAAGCTTCTCGCTATACCCCCTCCTACACTCCCAGTAGAAGTTCCTCACCTTGTGGAAGCCGTTGCTGTTGTGCTTGCACTCGATGTTCACGTTGATACCCTCGTTTTTATTCACGCAGGCCTTTCCATCTCTGCGATTACCCGCATTGTGCTCCGAAAGCACCTGTTTGTTTTGGGAGGTAGAGACATGTTTGTTTTGGGAGGTAGAGACATCCACGTCCCAGGAGTTGGAGCCCCTCAGGCACTCGTCCACATCCGCATACACGAGCCCGTGGAGCTCCCATCCTAGGTTCCAGGTCCAGGCGTTGGAACCGACGGTGTGCTGGCAGACTGCAAGGAGAGATCAGGGAGACACCAGTGTAAATCATCGACGTCCTCAAAGAAGGCAGATGAAGCAGACCGATACCCGGGGTTGCACTCGCACTCTGAGAGCTGGGACCTCCTCGTACCGCCGTTGTTGCTGCCGGCTGGGCATGAGGTGCAGACCAAATTCCCCAGATCGGACTTGTATCCCAATGGGCAGGTGTAACAAAGGCTGTAGCTGCAGTAGCCATCAGGCTGTAGCTGCAGTAGCCATCAGGCTGTAGCTGCAGTAGCCATCAGGCTGTAGCTGCAGTAGCCATCAGGCTGTAGCTGCAGTAGCCATCAGGCTGTAGCTGCAGTAGCCATCAGGCTGTAGCTGCAGTAGCCATCAGGCTGTAGCTGCAGTAGCCATCAGGCTGTAGCTGCAGTAGCCATCAGGCTGTAGCTGCAGTAGCCATCAGGCTGTAGCTGCAGTAGCCATCAGGCTGTAGCTGCAGTAGCCATCAGGCTGTAGCTGCAGTAGCCATCAGGCTGTAGCTGCAGTAGCCATCAGGCTGTAGCTGCAGTGCCATCAGGCTGTAGCTGCAGTAGCCATCAGGCTGTAGCTGCAGTAGCCATCAGGCTGTAGCTGCAGTAGCCATCAGGCTGTAGCTGCAGTAGCCATCAGGCTGTAGCTGCAGTAGCCATCAGGCTGTAGCTGCAGTGCCATCAGGCTGTAGCTGCAGTAGCCATCAGGCTGTAGCTGCAGTAGCCATCAGGCTGTAGCTGCAGTAGCCATCAGGCTGTAGCTGCAGTAGCCATCAGGCTGTAGCTGCAGTAGCCATCAGGCTGTAGCTGCAGTAGCCATCAGGCTGTAGCTGCAGTAGCCATCAGGCTGTAGCTGCAGTAGCCATCAGGCTGTAGCTGCAGTAGCCATCAGGCTGTAGCTGCAGTAGCCATCAGGCTGTAGCTGCAGTAGCCATCAGGCTGTAGCTGCAGTAGCCATCAGGCTGTAGCTGCAGTAGCCATCAGGCTGTAGCTGATGTAGCCTGGCTCACAGAGGCATGAGTCGATGGACCTGCTCCCAGGTTCAGACTTCGAGGATGTTGAGCATTTAACGCACCGGCCTGATCTGTGTACGTGTCTTTTGGGCAGGTCCATTCCCTTTGCATCCTTGTACTTCCTTACTGGGCAGGCGGAGCAATACTCCCCACCTGCCTGGTATCCCTCCAGGCAGTAGCCGATGGACTGGGACTCGGCGCTGCTGTTCGAATGGCTTGAGGGCTTGCAGGTACCGAACCCTGCCTGCGCCGTCTCGTCCTGGTAGGTACCGGCATGGCACGCCCGGCAAGAGCCCAGCTGTGGTCATGTCAGGGCGTGGCTCCTGGTCGCAACCTCGCATACCCCAAGGCTGTCCACGGCATCCTCCCCTTGCACGGAGATCCTTGATCGCACCGCCGAGCAGCTGACGTTGAGCGTGCCCGAGAGATGGATGTGGCTCTAGCAGGCGGCGTTGTAGAGGTTCGTGCTGGAATTGCCCACCCAAACCTCGATCAATGGCACCCGAGCAGGACCCACAGGCCTGGGAGCACCACCGTGACGCTCGGGCTTGTCTCTGTCGTGGTAGAGGAGACGGTGGCGGCGCTGCCATCGACGAAGGCCGTGAGATCCGCACTGCCGGATGCAGTCGGTCGGCTCGGTCGATGCCTCCTGTAGGGTGAAGATACAAGTGAAGATGAAAACGGAGAGGGAACCCTTGGCGGCTCGAAGGAGGGAAGTTGGGAGCGAGGTACATATAAGACAGACAGAACTGACTGTGCTGCATGAAGAGAGGACAGGGCTAGTTGGAGCCTGAAGAGAGCTGAGCAAGTTTGGAGGAGGAAGAAGGAAGAGAGAGTGGAAGGGATTAGGATGACGTAGCCATTGATCACAGATCTGAGTCATCCCCCTACACGCACACAACTTGAGCGAGTAGTTGTGTCCTGCCATCACGCCGCTGATCTGTAACGGTAACAGTGCACCTAGGCGAGTCTAAACCTACGCGAGCCGCTGAGAGCTCGGATAAGCTCCTGCTTGAGGCAATCTCTAGGCGCGAGTAAATCATCCCTCGCAGCAGTGAGAAACAAGCAACATGCACACCGTCACAGTCTGTCAGACGCTAGCGACCTCTAGTAGAGAAGTTAGAAAGTGCCTCAAGCAGGTAAGGCTGGGACGACCAAGACCTACACGAACACGTCACAACACGCAACCACAAAAGCTGTGCAAACACAAAATACACTCAAAAGCAACTTGAAGCACCAGCCAGCACTCAGCCCATGCGAGAAGCCGCGTAGAACAGCAAGGAGAGGCAAGCAACAAGACCTCAGTAGCATTCTTTCAGTGCAGGGGCTGGTTGCCAGCTCCTGGCTGGTGTGTGTAGTGTGATTGCGCAGCTTTAGTCGTGGCGGTGTTGGATTACTCTCATGCTCTGTAACAATTCCTCAAGCAGGAAGGAAGAGACTAAGACCTCAGGAAACGTTGGGCTGAGGTTTTCCTGCATCATCTTGCAAGGGTCCTCAGCAGGCGGTGCGTGTTAGGGTCGCATCAACGGCAAGCAGAGGTGTAACGGGCGCATCAGCTACTAGAAGTGTAACGGATCGGGAGGCTATTCGCGATTTATTAGTCTCTCTGGCTTGTCACTGCTTGTACTGCAAGGGAGGGTGACTAGGAGCAGGAGCGAGTCAAAGGGTTTGGGGTTTAGGGTACCTGTCTGATCTCTCGCATCAGAGCCGTCACTTCCTCTCTGTCCACCATCTCGCTCTCCAACAACCTCTGACAGAAAATCTGTTGGCAACCCTTCGTCAGTCTCATCTCATCCCTCCTCCTCCTCCTCCATTACCTCCGCGTCATCCAGTCGATTCAGGCTGGGATTTCTAAAGTAGCGGGCGAGGAAGAGCAGGGCATCGATGGTTTGCTGGCTGTTGACCTGATCGACAAAGTGAGAGCAGATGAAGGAAGAAGAGGAGAAGGCCAGGAGGGAGGGAAGGGAGGATGGGGAGGGAGCAGTGAGTAGTGAGGAGGGTGCAGGTTGGTCTGCTCTTCGCGTCGCCTCCACCTGCTCGCTATCGAGGATCCTCAAGTTGTTCTCGTAGTGCAGCGCCGCCTGCTCAAGGTCCAGGATCTTCTCCGCGTACAGCCTGCCGAGCTTGTTGAGCGCCATCCCCTCCCTGCGCCCCCGTCAGCCGCTAGATGGATGGCTCGCCCTCGCCTGTCGCCGTTCTCGTGCGCTCGCTTGTAGCACTTGATCGCCTGCAGGCAGATGAGAGTAAGAGACCAAAGAGCAAAAAGATAGAAAAGAAAAGGAAAGAAAGAGGGAGGGGGAGAGAGAGGGAGGGAGGGAGGGAGGGAGGGAGGGAGGGAGGGAGGGGGAGAGGGAGAGAGGGCGAGGGAGGGAGGGAGGGATGGAGAGGGAGGCAGGGAGGAACCTCGGGGTATTTGTCGAGGCACTCGTAGCACTGACCCATGGCACACCTACAGGTAATGTTAGCAACCTTGAGGTCAACGGCAACTGACATGCTACCACATCCTCGCGTCATAGGGACGTAGAGCCGTCGCCTTCCTGCCCCTTTCACGTCACACCCTCCCCCTTGTCTCCTTCCGGCACCTGAAGTAGTGAAGCGAGTAGAAATGCATCTGAAGGATCTCGTACGTCTGGTAGGATAAGGATGAGAATGTAGCGGCTCAGAGAACAGACCGGAGAAGGAAATCACGTTAAGGGAGAGAGGAAGAGAGGAGTGGGGAGGAAGAATGTATGCATCAACGGCAGGTGATAGTGTGGTAGGATGATGCAGGAGGAGGAGGAGGAGGAGGAGGAGGAGGAGGAGGAGGAGGAGGAGGAGGAATAGTAAATAGTATGATGCGGAGGCGGCAGGTAGGGTATAGCTCACCTGTCCAAGGCCGTACCACGCGCGGTAGTCGCGGCTGTTGATGTCAAGAGCCCGTCGGTAGGCCTCGATCGCAGCTGCCGTGTTTCTGATCTCGACGTACTCGTGACCCATGAGGGTCCAGGCAGAGAGGTAGTGCGAGTCCAGCTGCAGGGCGCGCTTGAAGTAGAGCACAGCCTTCTCGTGCTGCCCCTTGAGCGAGTAGTAGTTGCCTGCTTCTCTCAGAGCTAGCGCGCGGAGTCACGAGGCTCACCAACGATGCAGCATGTCTCGGGTCGATACTTCTCGTTCTTCATGGCACTGTGAGCGACGAAACTGTAGCCCAGCATCCATCCATCCATCAGTGAAATTTTGCCGAAGAGGAGAGGAGACCTTAGCTTCGTCTTCTCTTCCTTCACGTAAAGGATGTTGGAGTACGTGTCGATGTTGTCCAGGCGATATCTGCCGGTCCGTCAGAGCTTGAGGGTGTGCGAAACATGCTTACGGGTCTTGCGAGAGGATTTGTTCAAAGGCCGACTGAGCAGAGTTGAACTCTCTCATGTTGTACTGCGCGAGAGCCATCTGCTTCCGATGTCAGATAGTCCAAGCAGGATCAGAGCAGTTGAAGTTGAGCCTGAGAGACGATGTAGAGGGAGTGCGGGAAGATCCGCTGGAGGTCGAGGTATCGAGCAAGTGCCTGTTTGTTGCTCTGCAGCTCTAGGTCCATGTGTGCAAGGAAGAAATTCTTCATCCAGTGATCGGGCAGGCTCAGCTCCTGCAGCTATGAAAGGGTCAATAATCCTCTTCCTCTTCCTCCTCCTCCCCCTCCCTACACCCTTCCCTGCTTCCTCCAGCCGTGGATGGACCCATGGGAGGAGACAACCTGAGGCTGCGAGTGGCAGAGGGACGCGAGCTCCAGCCACGCCCCCCAGTTCCACGGGTACGACCGCACGGACTGTTGGAACGCCTTCCTCGCCTCGCCTTCGAGGTCCAGCGCCTTGAGAACCATCCCATACAGGAAGAGGCAGAACCCGTCGAGCTCACCCCTGCACAAGACCCTCAGACCCGCAACGACCTACAAGCTGCTCCTGCCTGCCATTCATGCGCGCCAGCTCCTTATGTAGCTCGCTCAGCTCTGCCTCGTACTCGAGGGTCGCCGCGCTGGCGGCAGAGGAGTCGATCTCGCTCTCCTGCTTCCGCTTCTGACCGGACAGGTAGGTCGCGTATCCCCGCAAAAACACTCCTCGGCTCGATCGGCACTCCCGCAGAAGGTAAGCCGCTCGCCTGGACGAGCGATCAGCATGAGGTCACGGTCAAGTCGGAGACGCACTTGTACTCCTTCACATCCACATAAGTTTTCGCGAGGTCGACAAGGTCCTCCTCCTCTCCTCCCTTCCTCTGCCCTGTAGACATCCGCTGAGCCGCCGCCGCCTCATCTGCCGTCACTTCACTAGCAAACCCGTTGAGCTATCAGCAGGTGGTCAGCATGGAGCTGGATGCTGGTCAGCACATGGCGCTGTACCTGCTCTGCCGCCCACTTGGCTCCAAACAGAAGTCCATGCTCAGAGAGATGTTTCAAGGCAAGGCGAAGCTCACCCTGGCAAGAGTCAAGAAAGACACCAGTCACCAAAATCTCAAGCGATCAGACTATGGACATGTTTTCTATGTACGCATGTACATCATCAAGACAAAAGACAATCTCAAACAATGTCTCCAGAAAACTTCAAGGATTGCAGGGCGTTCAAGGGAAAGGCGGTTGGCATGAGCAGACGGGATCTCTTAGTATCAGCGTGTTGAGAATGTAAGATCTCTTGGCATCCACATGATCATTTTCATCTCTCGCATCTTCGCGTCTCTTCACCTTCATCAGCTGCGGCTGCTCCTCCACCTCCATCGCCGACCCTCCCGCCATTTTTGAACGATGAAACATTTGACTTTTTACTCATCGAAGGATTGTGAAACAAATCAAGCTTGCCTCATGTGATTTTATGGAAAACCAAAAAGACAGCAATTACTACTAGGTGGTTTCTCTATCTCTCGGTTGTGACTCTCTGCCAGGCCCGCCCGGGGCTCCGAGTGCAAGTGCGGGCTATGATGCATATGTGCAAGACCTGTGTTAACTAAAAGCGAAGAGCCGCTGGGCATGGAGTCCGAGCGACGAAGAGGAGGAGAGGGAGAGGGAGAGGGAGGGGGAGAGGGAGGGGGAGGAGGAAGGAGGAGAGGGAGAGGGAGAGGGAGAGGGAGAGGGAGGAGGAAGGAGGAAGGAGGAGAGGAGAAGAGGGAGGAGGATATGGGTGAAGTGAGTGAACGCATGTCTCTGATGCTTGGTGTGAAGGTAACGGGGTGCTTGACGACGCGAGACATCTTCGAGGGAGGATGGTAGCCAGCAGGACTCTCAAGCTTGTGAGCGCATCGGCTCTGTGCATGCTCGTCCTCGTCGTTGCTCTTGTGTCGTTCCATCCTACCAGTCCCTCTCGCTTGTTGTCGTTGGGAGGAGACGAGGCTCAATCCTCTTCCCACGCGTGGGGCAGGTGCTTGAGAAGGAGAGGAAGGGCGGGGGGAATCTGATGAATGGTGTTCACAGGCTTCGAGATCGTACAAACTCCCGCTCCTCCTCTCCTGAGGTAACCTCCTCCCCTTTCTTCTATGCCTTGTGTGTTTGTGCCATGCGTTGTTTCTTGCTCAACTTCTTGTCCTGTCTTGTGCATCCCACCCTCGTCTCATCGATCGCTGCAGTCCTGGAAGTCTGGGAGGCGCTTGAGGGAGAGCATCTCCGACGCTCAGGTAGTTGGCGCTGCTGTGAGTCGGTGTATGAGGGGCGAGCAGGCGAGCTTGCGGCGTCTGCGAGGGAGAGAGGAGCTGCTGAGGGCGCGTCAGGCAGCGATCAAGCAGGAGGTGAGGGGAGACGTGGACTGTGAGAGTCTCTCTGACGCTCCTCTAGATCTCCCGCCTCACTTCCGCCGCTCAAATGGCGGAGGAGCAGCTGAAGGGGCTGAGGGGGCAGTACACCATGCAGGTCCGCGACTTGAGGATGGAGTACAAGCAGGCCAAGGCAGCACTCAAGCTGGCGAGAGACAAGGAAGAGAGGATGCTGGCGAAGAACGACGAGGAGCGTTCTCAGCTGCGCCAAGAGGTCACGTGGCATCGGATGCCGTCGGTCTGCCATCCAATACTGAGACTTGCTTGATAGATTATCGCACAAGTCGAGCGACTTGCGTTTTACAAGCAACAAGCAAAACTTGCCAACGACGAGGTCAGTCGCATTCGTCTGCTGTCTGTCCTGATGTCTTCACAGGCTTCCAACATACATCGCCGAGCGGAATCGCTCAGGGCCGACGAGTTGGAGAGCCGAGACGTGGCGCACAAGTTGGAAGACTTGACGTCAGCAGTCAAGTGAGTTCAGCTGACCCCCATGATAGAGGAGGAGGCGCGTCAAGGAGGAGCTGAGAAGTCTGAGTGGTCATCGACGCTGAGTGTGACGAGTTTGACTTGCAGGGCCGCTGAGCAAAGGTCGAAGGGCAGGAAGAAGACAGCTGAGGTTGAGTCGGACTTCATCGACCAGTACACCAAGATCAACGCCAGGGCCTCTGCTGCCGTCGCCGCTCGTGATTCTCGCAGAATTCAAGTTGATGCAGAGACGAGAGTCGAGGAGAAGCTTGAAGCTGCTGCTAAGGCAGCGGCTGATGCAGCGGCCGCCGAATCGAAGGAGAAGATGAAGGAAGCGAGTGAGTATGCGGCGAAGGCCGAGCAGGTGGATCAAGAGTTGCTGTCCGCGAGGGCGGAGAAAGCACAGGCGTTGCTAGAGGAGAGGAAGTCGATCTTGTCGCTGGAGGATGCCAAGGAGGAGTATGACAGGATCATGGCAGCCATAGAACAGGCGGAGAACGAGACGAGGAGCGAGAACTCGCTCGTTGACCTGCTGGACGCAAAGCTGAGGCACCTGGAGACGGAGGGGAAGCTCGCGCAGCTCAAGGAGGAGGGGGATGCCGCGCTGGCGGATCTGGCGAGGTCGCAAGGAGAGAAGGAGCTGCAGGCGATGGAGGAGAAGCAGACGGTCAACGAGCAGATCGCGACCGACGAGAAAGCGCGACGGGAGCAGCTGCTGTCCGACATGCTGCAAGAGCTCGGCGAGGACCTGGCGGCTCATAACCTTGCAGACTCGCTCCGAGCCCGCGCCGAGTTTGTGGGGCAGAACGCGACGGCAGCAATGGAACGAGCTGAGAAGCGCGACAAAGAGGTATGACACGAGTCGAGCTGGACCCCAACTGGTTGGTCTGACGTCTCCCTGTCAGGCGGACACGCTGCTGGGGTCTGTCTACAACTTGGGAGTGTTGGCAAGAGAAGCAGCTGAGGTGAGACAGCTCTCGAGCTTCCTGCGCTCCCTTTCTCCTCTCGTTGGCTCGTCCTGATGTGCTTGGGCAGGTGGCGGCCAGGGAGCGGGTGAAGGCTCAAGGAGTCGTTCCGTGCGGCTCCTCCTGCGTGACTCCCGTAGCGGCTGTGGCGAATCCTTCGGTGAGTGTGCACGTGGTGCCCAACGGTCAATAGAGAGTTGAAGAATAGATGAACGTGTACCATGACAAAGTCCTCCACCTCCTCCTTCTCTCCTTCTCTCCTCCTCCTCCTCCTACATCATTGCTTCTTCTTCTTCTTCTTCTTCCCATCCTTGCTTGTGCCCCCGACTGAGCTCTCCTCGGTGACCCGCGTGGCTTCACTCTCCTCCTCCTTGTCTCCGACCTGCTGCTCCTCTCCCTCTCGCCCAGCCCACATCCCTCCCGCCTCACCCTCCGAGCTGTAAAAATCTGCCAAGGACGTGAGCAGCTGAGGCCAGCAAGTCGCTCTCACCTGCTGGCTGCGAAGGCGAGAGAGCGTCGAGAGTTTCTGAAGAGAGAGGAAGCGAAGAGAAGGAAGAGACAAGTCAGAGCGAGGGAGAAAGAGAGTCAGGGGAAGAGAAGCAACGGTGAGGGCACATGGCAGTCTACCTGTCTTCTCTTGGACCAGCTCAGGGCGGCTCGAAGTCTCAGCAGGAGGTGAAGGGATCAAGTCCTCGTCGAAGAGCATCGTGCTTGCCGCAAGCCCTGGGCCCCCTGAGCTTCCCCTACCTTCGCCATCGCTGTCTTCCTCGTCACTCGTCCAGCTGTCTCGTCCAGCTGCGGCTGGCCCTGAGGGTCCAGTACCCTCACTCGCCCTCTGCGCCTGCCCCATGAGCGACATCCCAGCTCTGAGCGAGCTGCTCCAGGAGCTGGGGGCCCTGAGGCTCGAGGGAGGGGCAGGCGCGAGAGGTTCGACCAGGAAGTAGTCGTCGAGGTCGCTCTCGCGAAGCTCCTCCGCCCGTCCACCAATGAGAGACGTGGGGACCTGGCAAGGGGTCCTGTCACCTCTTGAAAGAGGGGGAAAGTACCGGTATGACCTGCTCGTGTAGGATCTCTTTGTCCTGCATGTCCTGCTTCTGGTGCTCGAAGGAATAAAACTTGACGGACGGGCAGGACCAGATCGACTCCTCCCCCCGCTCGTGAGTCTGCATCTCCACGTTCGCAACCCACTTGGGCAGGCCTCCCTTGCCTCGTTCCCCCTTTCCCCCTTCACCTCTTCCTCCTCCTTCACCTCTTCCTCCTCCTTTTCCTTCTCCTCCTCCCCCAACTTCTTGTTCTCCTCGTCCCTCTGGTCCCTCTACCCCGACATGCTCCTTCCAGTGTTGACAATCGCATGCTGCCATCCACGATCGCAATGACACAAGAGGGAGCGATCCTGGCTGAAAGCCCTGCCTCTCTCCTTCCCAGCTGCGTTCCCAGCAGAAGTCCAACAAGCCCTTGAGCAGCAGCGTCAGAGGTGCCTCGCCTGCTTCCTCGTCTACCTGACTCTCCGTCTCCAGCAGCAGCAGCTCTCGATGCGTCTCGGGATCCACGTGTGCGCGAGGAGAGAGACGATAGCGGGCCATCCGAGCGTCTCCTGACACCACCAGCAACAGGCAGCCAGCCGCAGAGGAGGAGGAGGAGGAGACTCTGTCTCCAGCAAAGTGAAGGCAAGTCTTGGCCGTCCTGCCGGAGGAAGGGAGAGGTTCTCGTGCTCTGATCCTCGTGGTGGCAAACAAGGTGATGGGGCCTTGAGGGAGAGAAAGAGAGGAGGAGGCAGAGGGGTAGGAAGCGCCAGCGCAAGAGTAGGAAGAGGAGGAGAGGGCGTGAGTCTCGACCGTCGCAGCGCTACCGTCGGCGTTGATGGCATAGAGGTGGACTGTACTGCTCTTGGAGGTGATGGCGACCCATCGGGTGTCCCAGCTGAAGGCGATGTCGACGATGGTCGTGCTCGTCACTCCCCGCACAAGCTTGTACAGATGCCGGGGAGCCAACACACGCGGCCCCTTCCCGTCCCTCCCCCTCGCCTCCACCTGGAAGATGTTGATGTTGTGCCCGTCCTGCCCGCACGCTTGTCAGGGGGGGTGAAGGGAATGAACGGGAGTCACCGCAGCTGCCGTCACGAGGAGGAGACCGCTGGGGTCGAACTGCAGCATTGCGAGCGGACAGTCGTGAGCTCGGAAGTGATGGACTACCTCATCAGACTGAAGGTCGCGGAGCAGCACAGTCCCTGCGTGCTCCAGGTAAGGCTCGGGAGGGGAAGGAGCAGCAGGAGGGGAAGAGCCAAGGTACGAGTTGAGAGTCCTAGACCAGCGTTAGTCCAACACAATCTGTTCCTCCTGTCTCCTCCAACCGCAGCCCGAGCTCTCCCAGCTGCTTCGCGCCAGATGCCATGCTGCCTGCGACTCCCACCCCGACGTCGAGGTACGCGCTGCCGTAGGAGTTGAAGGAGGCGACATGCCCGCCAGCTCCCTTCCTCGGGGCCTCGTCGGCGGGATAAGCCATCCACCTCGGGCCAAGCGCGAGGAGCTGCAGAGGGTCAGAGGAGACGATGACGCTCAAGTCTTTGCGTCACCCCAGCAGACGTCGGGCAGGGGAAAGTGTTCAAGACACGGACGAGGCTGAGCGTGGCGATGTCGTGAACAAGGATCTGAGGGAGAGGATGAGAAGCAAACGATGAGATCGATAGGAAGAGACAGGCCGACAGATCACAACAGCAGCAGCTGCTCTCACCCTCATCCTCTCACTTGTAAGTGAGAGGATGAGAGTGAGGAAAACGAGGAGTAGAGAAGATTGAAGCGGGTTCAAGACGCTCAACGATGAGACCTGCTCCTTGAGCTGCACGACGACATGCTGACGGTTGCAGGCAACGACGTGAATGTCGGCGTGGAAGCGAAGGGCGTGAAAGGGTGTGTCCTCCTTCAAGCTCAAGATCTTCACCTCCTTCATATCCCCCAGCTCGTCTCCAGCCACCAGCGCCACTGCCGGCTGTCGCCCAGCAAGAAGAGCGCCGGGAGGAAGAGCAACAGACGGGATGACCTTGACCAGCCTCGTGTATCCCTGACGATACATCAGTCACCCATGCCTCCTCGGAGCGAGCACTAAGAGATCAGACAGTAAGACCTGGCGGACCGATAAAACTTCTCGAAGAGGAAAAACATCCGGGAAGGAGCGACTAGTTTCTTCCTTCTCTTCCTCCTCCTCAGCTTCCATGACTTGCCACACTTGAAATCCATTTCTGCGACATGTATGAGCCCTGCCGCAGCTCCAGCCATGGAACCTCAAGCAGATGAAGAGAAAGCGACGACGCGAAGTCAGTCCACTGTCAACATCGAAACTGATGTGAAGCACCTGTAACATCAATCAGAGACTAGAGAGCATGATACGGTCGGGCTAGAGATGAGACCAGACATGACACAACATGACATGAGCAGAAGAAGACAGCAGAGCTTGTCAGCATTCGACCACCTCGTGTCGATCGGTCATGTCTTGAGAGCACTTCTCCTTGATAGGAAGGAATCCGGTCACGGAAGGGACGCACTGAGACAGGTAGCTCTGCGACGGCACCTGCCAAGCGACCGCTTACCCTCCCCTCGCGGCGAGGAGGAGCTTACCGATGACGACACCACCCCCACCACCCCTGACGCGACTCCTCCCAACCCTGAGACCGTCTTGGAGACACTCTCAACCTGTTGCGTGTCAGAGGAGGAGGAGGAGGAGGAGGAGGAGGAGGAGGAGGAGGAGGAGGAGGAGGAGGAGGAGGAGGAGGAGGAGGAGGAGGAGCTAGAGGCCATGAAGAGGAGGCAGAGGACGTGAAGAGCTGACCGAGGGGAGATAGTTGCCCCAGTTGGATGAGGGACTCCACGAGGACATCTTGACCGATTGAATGCTCTAGCGTATGGGTCGAGAGCTCCTCTCTAAGGTCCTCTTTGCTTGCACGAGGTCCTCTTTGCTTGCACGAGATGTTTCATCGTGATGGAAGTTGCATTTCTGGTACCGCAGAAGAATCAACTCTTCGTTTCTTTCACTTTCTCCTGCCTGTCTCCTTACCTTCTTATCTCCTTACCTCCTCATCATCTTCTCTTCTTCTTTTCTTCTCTTCTTCTCTTCTTCTTTTCTTCTCTTCCTCCCTTCTCCACTCGTCCTCCTCGGTCAATCCTTGTTCCCCTGAAATTTAATGTTGCAATGCGGGAATTCCCTGTTGCACCCTTGTAAGTACGCAGTCAACTATTTGTGTTAAGTACGCATTCCGGCGTGACGGAGTCACGGTAGCGGCCGTACCGTGTAGTACGGTCGATCGGACCGGGCCGGCAGGCCCGTTGACGGAATACAAGTTTGTTAGACTTGTACTAGTCCAAAGTCACGCAGATATCACATCGACCTTAGTTGTAACAAGACAGTTTTGCTCAAGACCAAGTTTAATGCACACAAAAACCAGAATTGAGGAGCACATGAGAGATAGACTGTATGCTAGGACTCGATGTGAACCCCCAGCATCCAGACATGAGAGGACCTTAACAAGACGGCTAGGAAAGCCCCCTCTTCGTCCCACACGCTACATGCCGCCTTGAAACACGTAAGTCGTCTTGGTATACAGGAGAGTTTTTGTTAACCGGCGGCGCTATCTGACTCAGGCTGGCACGGCTGGCATCAGTACGCTCCGATCCTCCCACCGACTTCCTGAGACGGTACGTTACGTCGGACGTCAGAAAGTCACACAAACAAGAAAATGTCAGCAGAGTTCCAAGTCGAGATACGATAGGGCTATTAGATGTGCAGTAAAGAGATAAGGAGATGCATAGCGAGCGGATGCAATGAAGAGAGATAGAGTAAAGATAAGAGTGTCTGAGAAGAGAGAAGATAAGAGAAGACGAGAGAAGTTTGCTCGCCAGCATTTGAAGACCAAAAGATAAATTTTTGAACCGTGAAGAACTTGTGACCAGAGATTGCTGTCGCGAGATTGGAACATCCGTTTCAAGGCATTTGAAGATGTTTTGCAGTTGTACCTTGTTCGCCGATCCAGATTGAAGTAGCTCCAGTTATGCATGCCACAGCCTAGCTCCATGACATGAAAACTTCCGCCAGATCTCCTGGTAGTTCCATTTGATCCTACTCAAAGATCAAGAAAAATAAGAATCGAATAAGCTCCCAAGTGTGTTTCCACAGTTCGAGTCAGATATTCGACCGACCAATCTGGCTGGGGAAAGGCTTGTTTTTCCTATTCGAAGATCAATCAAACAATTTGAGGCTGAGATGAGAGGCCTAAACAACTTGCGGCTAGAGAGAGAGCCTGATTGAAGAGAGGAGTCATCCGAATGTGTAAGGCTTGATAGAATTGCATGAATTTTCAACAGCAACGAAACGATACCAAGAAAGAAAAAACTCCAGTAAACAATTCAACTAACCAAATATAAGATCAACATGATTGAGCATGTAATCGAGGCTCATAACCGACGGAATACAAGTTTGTTAGACTTGTACTAGTCCAAAGTCACGCAGATATTGTATACACAACACAGAGGTTCAGAACGAGGCTAAGCAGAAGTTAGGAGATAACTTGAGAGCAAGAGAACAAAGGTAGACTACGTTTACTTAAGGTAAACTGCACACACGCACTGCGCACGGTAGCGCATGCGCGTCAAAGGGAGGCCGTATTTAGATGTCAGGGCGGATACTAAGTACCCGTACGAGTATCCGAGACGTCCGGATCCTCACGGATACAACATCGCTCCCATCTGCGCTTGACAACATAGTTCCATCTTGTCCTTCGCTGTCACATGAGGATCGACGACGAGGATCAATTGTCTGAATCAGAAGAGTCCGACGGCGGAAGCGCGGAGGTGGGGAGAGCTTGAAAGTCCTGACGGGCTTCGAATTGACGAATCAATTCACGCAATCCTGTCTTGCGTTGCAGAAGATGCGCAGGCAACCAAGTGCTTTCGCTAGCTTGATTGTAACCAGTCCATTTGACGAGATATTGAGTGCCACGGCCACGACGACGTTTGCTGAGAATGCTCTCGATTTCATATTCGAGGCCGTCGCGAGTGACGAGCGGGTCAGGCGGTAGGTCTGGCGACATGTAAGCAGGATCTCTGTCGACGTGAGGTCGAAGCCACTTGATGTTGATCACGGTGTTCCTGATGGAAGCAAAGCGCGATGAGACTTCGAGACGCACGGTGTTGTCCGAGACAAACTCCAGGAGTGGAGAGCCAGACCATGTCACCAACTTGGTAACTGGAGGGTCGACGAGCAAGAGCTAGGCGATCCTCGGTGGCACGAGCAGCTTGTTCCAGGGCGTCACGAGCGGCTTGAGCGCTGACTTCAGAGGCTTCGATGATGGAATCTAGCGTTTCCTCCTGATGATCAGCGGCAGCTGGAAGAGTGAGCTGAGTGCGGATCTGCTTGCCAAACATCACTTCGAAGGGGCTGAGTCCAGTAGGACGTCGCACGGCGGCGTTAAGATGGGTCTCCAGGATGGGAAGATACTTGTCCCAGTCGGCACGAGGGTACTGATTGCAGTAGATGCGAAGAGCTTCGAGCACAACTGAGTTCATACGCTCGGGTCGGCCGTTGCTTTGAGGCATGAAGGGCGACGAATGCTTGACGTGAACGTTGAGCATCTTGAAAAGCGCATTCCAGAACTTGGAGGTAAAGAACCTTGGGAAGGCCTTGCGAACGAAACACTCTTCTGAGCGGCTTGCTCAGAGGTAATGGTTTTACGACAAGGTGTCAGGTACACCCGTCCTGTGAACTCATCAATGAAGAGTAAAATAGAATCCGATTCTTATCTGAGGTCCGAGGTAGGCCAGTGAGGAGGTCGAGAGACACGACTTCGAATCGGTTGGCCGGCACTGCATGGGAGTGCGGGTTGCCCATCTGCTTTTGGCGATAGGACTTGCCTTGAAGACAGTGAGTACACGAGAGGATGTACAGCTCGGTGTCCTTGCGGAGTTGAGGCCAGTAGACGGTCGCGGCGAGTTGTAAGTAGGTCCGCGAGAATCCAAGGTGAGACTGCAGATCGTGAGCACGTTGCAAGACTTCGCGCCGAAGAGCTTGAGGAATGCAGAGGCGCACGCGACGTAACGAATCTGTGTAGAAGAGTAGGCCGTCGTCGAGATGATACCGGGAAACAACTGTCTTGGATTGCAGACGTCGAATGATGTCCTGACTGAACGAGCAGGCAGGGTAAGCGGCTCGAATAGCTTCGGTAAGCGGTTCGAGGGTGCTCACGGTGAACGCAAGCAAGTATCCGTCTTCAGGACGGATGAGCTGCTCATGATGCGGAGCATCAGTGGAAAGGGCAGGGAGAGGAACGAAGAGGAGGAGGCTTGAGCAGCAGCAGCAGAAGCAGAAGGTGTCGACATCGAGCGATTGGACGGCTCAAGTAACTTCTGTGTGTAGGCGACAAGTTGAGAAAACATAGCGGCACCTATTCCGTAGTGGTCGCGATAAATGGCGAACCAGGTATGCAGCGAGCCACGCGTCTGAGCGCATTGATGAAGAGACGTAAGGTCGTGTCATTGACGTAAAGAACTGCTGCGCTGACTTGCTTCTCAAGTGTCTTGAGCAAGGTCGTAGCACGCGCCAAATAAGCTCCGAAGAGGACTGCTTCAGCTCGGCGAGTTCAGCCTGATAATCCTTGGAACGCATGGCGGGCGCCATGCAGTTGCGGAGCTGATTGCCAAACTCGGTCCAGGAAAGACGATGGATGTCCATCTGCGAGGGATAGATACAATCGAGCATCACCATTACCTCTTCCGTAATCAACGGGCATATGGATTGCACCCGGCATTTGGCTTCGGGGATCTCTTGCGAGGCCAGAGCTCGTGAACACTGCCGAAGAAAGTCATCGATCGAACGTGTATCGGTCATACCCTTGTAGGTGGGGATGCGGCTCCCGTTAAATTTGGGCGCCACGGTGCCACCGTGGGAGTAGGCAGAACTTGGAAAGTGTCCGTCGAAGGCGCGGATGGCGGAGTGAGCTGAGCTGGCACGATGCTGTCCGATGGGACCTTCAGGGGGACGGAATTCATAGATGGAGCTGGCATCGGCGTGAGGACAGCATCCGACAGGGGCGCCTGGCCGGTCAGCATGGAGAGCTGAGGCGCCAGCACGGCAAGACGTGGGTCATTGTCGGCTAAGATGGCACAAATGTGGCCGAGCAGTTGGAGGCATTTGTCTGTTTTAGCATCCAACGTTGCGAGGTGATCAGAAGAAAAATTTTCTGACCTGGGCAGACATGCAGGATTTGCAGAAGAGGCTGCTCGTGGTTGAGCTGTCTCGACTGATCTTGGAACATTTGGTTGGGAAGCGTCCTCCCCGATTCGGGCCCGTTGCTCCACGCCTGCTGGCATGATGCTTTGCATGTCTCCGCTCATAATAAGTTGTGTCGGGATAATCTCGGCGTCCGTTCCATGAGCACTAACTTGGAATTTCCGTTTCCCGAGCAGGGGAGATCGATTCTTGAATCTCCGTTCCCTCTTGTTCGCTACCAGAGTCTTCTTCTTGAATGAATCTTAACTCTGATTGTCTGCTTCTTGACGATGGGCTTCTCCCTGAAGCAGCTTGCTTTCTGTATCCTGTTCCTCTACCGTACTTCGATGGCATGAATGAACCAACTTCGCTTCCAGAATGTTGTATACACAACACAGAGGTTCAGAACGAGGCTAAGCAGAAGTTAGGAGATAACTTGAGAGCAAGAGAACAAAGGTAGACTACGTTTACTTTTAAGGTAAACTGCACACACGCACTGCGCACGGTAGCGCATGCGCGTCAAAGGGAGGCCGTATTTAGATGTCAGGGCGGATACTAAGTACCCGTACGAGTATCCGAGACGTCCGGATCCTCATTGATACAAACAGATACCATATCGACCTTAGTTGTAACAAGACAGTTTTTGCTCAAGACCGAGTTTAATGCACACAAAACCAGTATTGAGGAGCACATGAGAGATGGATGTGAAACCCCAGCATCCAGACATGAGAGGACCTTAACAAGACGGCTAGGAAGCCCCCTCTTCGTCCCACACGCTACATGCCGCCTTGAAACACGTAAGTCGTCTTGGTATACAGGAGAGTTTTTGTTAACTCGGCGCTATCTGACGGCTGGCACGGCTGGCATACGCTCCATCACCCGCGGAGTGGCACAGTGAACTCGGAGCCCACGGCCCGGCCCGGCTGTGACTTGCTGACGCGGCCCACACTGACTCAGTAGTGAGAGAATGTGAAACACACTGTATACATCTATCGCACGCGAGTAAAACTCTGAGTCTCATTGAACCTTCAGACTCCTGAGAGTCTGCAAGCGCCGCCCGAGTCAAGCAGAAGAAAGCAGGAACTTCGGAACAAGCAATACCGTCATGCACATATCACACAGCACATTGAACAAAAGCAGTCGGAGGAGACCGCCACCCCTCCTTGCGGCGGTACCGTACAAAATAACCAGCCACTCCTTATATAAGCATGGGGTCCTTTCTTCTCTTCTCTCTCTCTGTCCTCTCTCTTTTCTCTCTTACTCTTTCAGACTCAGTGACTCTTACTCTACTTCATAAATACTCTTATCTCAGAAGTCAATTACCTACCTGCTCTTACTTCGCTACTGCACACAGGCAGTCCACTGTACCGGCAGCCCACCAGCGGGAAGCCTCGGCGGCGTCGCGTCAGATTTTCTCCATCCTAGCATACACTCACAAACTGGGAATCAAAAGGAGGAGGCAGCGAAAACCGCTACTCCAACTCAGTACTTCTCCGAGGCACGGCTGACGGAATACAAGTTTGTTAGACTTGTACTAGTCCAAAGTCACGCAGATATCACATCGACCTTAGTTGTAACAAGACAGTTTTTGCTCAAGACCAAGTTTAATGCACACAAAAACCAGTATTGAGGAGCACATGAGAGATAGACTGTATGCTAGGATGTGAAACCCAAGCATCCAGACATGAGAGGACCTTAGCAAGACCGGACGGCTAGGAAAAGCCCCCTCTTCGTCCCACACGCTACATGCCGCCTTGAAACACGTAAGTCGTCTTGGTATACAGGAGAGTTTTTGTTAACTCGGCGCTATCTGACTGGCACGGCTGACATACGCTCCATCCTCCCCCCGAGTTTCTGAAATAGTACGTTACATCGGACCTCAGAAAGTCACGCAAACAAGAATGTCAGCAGATCCAAGTCAAGATACGATGATACAACGTCAAGTTCACTGTCATGCTGAGTGGGCAATAACCATTCAAGGATTGTCCATTCTGAAGAAGATTTTCATGCAGGGCTATTAGATGTGCCGCAGTGCAGAGATAAGGGAGATGACTGGCGAGCTGATGCAATCACGAGAGAAGGAGGATAAGATAAGAGAGTCTGAGGAGAGAACTTCAGATAACAGAGAGAGAGAGAGAGAGAGAGAGAGAGAGCGTGCCCGCCGGCATTTGAAGACCAAAAGATAAATTTTTGAACCGTGAAGAACTTGTGACCAGAGATTGCTGTCGCGAGATTGGAACATCCGTTTCAAGGCATTTGAAGATTGTTGTGCAGTTGTACCTTGTTCGCCGATCCAGAAGTAGCTCCAGTTATGCATGCCACAGCCTAGCTCCATGACCGTACATGAAAACTTCCGCCAGATCTCCTGGTAGTTCCATTTGATCCTACTCAAAGATCAAGAAAAATAAGAATCGAATAAGCTCCCAAGTGCGTTTCCACACGGTTAAGCAGATATTCGACCGACCAATCTGGCTGGGGAAAGGCTTGTTTTTCCTATTCGAAGATCAATCAAACAATTTGAGGCTGAGATGAGAGGCCTAAACAACTTGCGGCTAGAGAGAGCCTGATTGAAGAGAGGAGTCATCCGAATGTGTAAGGCTTGATAAGAATTGCATGAATTTTCAACAGCAACGATGAAAACAATACCAAGAAAGAAAAAACTCCAGTAAACAATTCAACTAACCAAATATAAGATCAACATGATTGAGCATGTAATCGAGGCTCATAACCGACGGAATACAAGTTTGTTAGACTTGTACTAGTCCAAAGTCACGCAGATATCACATCGACCTTAGTTGTAACAAGACAGTTTTTGCTCAAGACCAAGTTTAATGCACACAAAAACCAGTATTGAGGAGCACATGAGAGATAGACTGTATGCTAGGATGTGAAACCCCAGCATCCAGACATGAGAGGATCAAGCAACAAGCAGCAACAAGCAGCTTTGTTTTGCTTGAGGCACTTTTTACCTTCTGCCAGTAAATCCGTATCTTTTTTAGCAGCAGGAGCATGCAGGAGGAATTCCTCCTCGCTAGCCTCCGAGTCAGCGGTAGCCGAGACCAACACCGCCCGTGACGACGGCGACGCCGCAGCCGCCGTTGAATCATCGGCCCAAGGACCGGCGGGACCCGACCGATGCCGGGGAGGAAGCAGCCTGCCGAGCTCGGACCAGCAGCAAGGCCTATGGATTTACTGGCAGAAGGTAAAAAGTGCCTCAAGCAAAACAAAGCAGGAACAAGCTAAACCTCCAGGCACACAGCGCACAGCGAGAAGCTGCACAAACACACACAAAACACAAGCCCGAAAAGCCAGCAGTGCTGGCACCCAGACGCGGCACCGCCAGCCCAAGCAACAAGCAGCAGGAGCATGCAGGAGGAATAAAATCCCTTAGACGCGATACCCGGAGGCAGCCGACTGACCACTGTGCAAGCACCCCAGTAGTAGGATTTACTGGCAGAAGGTAAAAAGTGCCTAATGTTGTATACACAACACAGAGATTGTCAACGACACGAGTAAAGTAAGGATGAAGAAGATTGAGAAGCAGGAAATAGAAGTCTCTAAGTTTACTAGGAGGTAAACTACGCACAACCACCACACTCACTGTGCATGCAAGTGGGGGAAATTCAGGAGGCCGTCCGCACGAGATGCGTCCGCCTATATAGGGAATATCCGGCAGAGTATCCGACGAGTATCCGAGGTTCCGGATCCTCATGGATACAACATCGCTCCATCTGCGCTTGACAACTTAGTTCCAACTTGTCCTTCGCTCTTACCATGAGGAGATGAACGATAGGATTCAAAGTTCCACTTCAGACGAGTCGGAGGAGTCCAAGGCGTTGGAGGGTAAAGCTTGAAGAGCTTCACGGTGTTCAAATTGACGGATGAGGTCGCGAAGACCTGATTTCTTCTGCAACTCACGAGCAGGGAGCCAATTGTTCTCACTGACTTGATCATAGCCTGTCCACTTAACAAGGTACTGAATACCTCGACCGCGACGACGTTTGCTGAGGATGCTCTCGATCTCGTATTCCAAGCCGTCTCTGGTGGCCAGAGGTTCGGGTGGTCGCTGGGGATCTTGATAGGCAGGGTCGCGCTCTGTATGCGGACGAAGCCACTTGATGTTGATGACGGTGTTTCTGATCGATGCGAAGCGAGGAGAGACGTCGAGACGAACGGTGTTGTCTGAAACAAATTCCAGGATGCGGAAGGGACCAACGAAGCGAGGGTTGAGCTTCGAGGCGGCGTCGGGGATGTTGAGGTTGGCGGTAGAGAGCCAAACCAGATCTCCAACTTGATAGCGGCAGGGACGACGGGCCTGCGCAAGGCGAGCTTCGGTGGCGCGCGCTGCAGCTTCGAGAGCAGCTCGGGCAGCTTCGGCGCTGACTTCGGTTGCTTCACGAATGGAGTCGAGGGTCATGCCGTTCACAAGGCCATATGCAGGCTCTAGCAAAATTGGTCTTTTTTTTTCTCCTTGGGAAGGGGTTCATATATACACTTCCATTCAGCTACCCCGGTTTTTGCTCTATTACTGGGGGGTAGTGAGACAGGGATAAAGTAGGGTGGGGTGATTTGAATTATACTGGCGTGGTACCCTGTCCCCCGCCTTACTTTTTGAAGCACTTCATTTTAATTGTTTAGTCAGCGCTTCAATCGTACACATCTATGTACGGATGAAGTGCCTCTGGTACAGTCTGTACTATTCTTTTAAAGTGGTTTCGACAGGCGTCTCGAATAAGCCTCCACCCTAGTGACTTCCTTTGTCTGGAGGGGTAGAGGACCGAAAGATTCTCTCATACCCGTGCATTTCACTGTATCACGGTACGTGGGGGTGCTAATGGAAAAGAAGGCATTTCGATTGCCGTTTGAGCTCACCACGCCAATACCCCCGGTTCCCCTTCATCACCTTTACGAAAGGCGGGGTGGGTAGCTAGCAAAGAATACAAAACTACCCTTTGATTCAAGAGTTTGAAATTGGGAAATAGGGGGTAGGGTGCTATCTCCACTCTCCTCTCCCCAAATCCCCCCTCCCTGGGCAAGCAAGAGATGGCTGCTTGATCCTTCACCCGCATGCAACGACAAGTCATCATGGTGAGAGGCTTCGAATCTATTGCTGCTTGAATGTGGATGAGAATTTAATCGTCTAATGTATCCATGTAGATAGACTAAGACCTTTTCTTAGTCTCTGACTTTGAAAGAAAGTTTTGAATTCCGCTTCTCTTACATGACTGCATGACAGAGAAAGCTGTCTAGGAATGAAGATGTCTTTAGAATACATTGAAAAAGATGAATACACCTTTTCTGCTCTCTTATTCGTTGTTTCAAGCATGAGAGCCGTATGTATGAGGATTCAGAGAGGAAGTATGGTTTACAATGCTGCACCATCAGTTTGCAAATGAGGTGCTTTCATGCACTCCAATCTTGCAAATATGCTAGAAAAATTCAAGTAATTGCAGTTCAGATCCTCAAAAGCAACATCTTCACATTATTTCTGCTTGAGCATGCATTCAAGATGCTCAAGGATCAACATGCTCCACGTAGCTGTGGCGACATGGAAAGTCTGTTTCAACCACAGGATGAGAATCCTACAGCAATCAATGTGGCTTACTAGAGCTACAAGCATACATTGTGCATAATTAGGTTTATTTGCAACTTTTTGATGTATCTCTGCTATGCAGGCACAACGAAGAAACCAATGTGAGGCTTATTGTGCTGACCATTGAACATGTATTTGATGCTACTTGCGGTTGTCATTGTAATGAGATTATTGCAAAGAATGATACCTCATGAATGTATAAAGATTTCTGCAATCAGATCACTACCACTTTTGATGTCGATCCCAAGCTTACAGTGAGTCGGAATGGTCTACAGGGGAAGCGATGTTTTCATCATCATTCAACCCCTGCATGCATTCTGCATTTATGTGAAATGAAAGAAGATACAGAAATGCTCTTTAGCATGGCCTCGAATGCAAGACTGAGATCACTTTATTTCACAATAGAACAAATAATACATGTGTGCATACTGTGTTGACGGTTCAAATGTCCGACATCACAGCTAGATGAACGCTCAAAACTAATCCCACGCATCAAGAAATCAACACACTCTGCAAATCTGAGAAGTGGAGACTCTCGACGGTGTTCAAGGCTTAAGACGTCTTGATTGCCTCTGGCGGCATCAGTGTTTACATGCAATCAAACATCCTAACTGCAGTAGGCGAAATGCATGCAGAAATCTTGTGAAACAATCTATGCAATGCTTGATGTCTAATATAACAAGTGAGCTTGACTAATTACGTGGATCTGCAAAATGATGCAATCTCCATCAAACAAATCTTCAAGGCATCGCATGTGGAAAATATGCAATTCAAAAATCATTCATCACAGGGAAGTATCTTATGATTATTCTGCCATAAGGTTGGTGTCAAGTCAAAATGACAAGCGATCTCCTACACTGGATTCAAACCTCATGTTTTCATCATCTTGTTCTTCATAATAACCTTTTGAACCATGGATCTCACAACGCCATTGCTGCACACTGTGTTGTCACCGAACGCATCACCACGAACCTAGCGGTCTCAGGTCTCAAACTGTGCTGACTAGAGAGCTTCAAACCTAACAAAGCCTTGCATGCTGAGATCTGATGCTGGCTACAGCAGCGGATGGTCTTACAGCGGCATCGTTGGAGGAGCAGCTTTGGTGCTACGTGCCGGCGTGTAGGGGAGACATGAGTCGGGCGTGTACGATGTTGAAAACATTTCAACCCTCTGAAATGAAAGTTAAAATACATGTAAAGGCCTAGCAGAAATGATAACTAAACTGCACTGGTACTCTTTGGAGGTATCTCTTGCTGCCGTTGAAAACTTGTTTGAATTCACACGCCACCCCAAAAAAAACTTTCTCGAAAAGAAGAGTGGAAATTAACGAAAGGGCTAAAAGTGAACGGCATGCTCGTCCTGATGATCGTCAGGTGAGGGCAGAGAGAGTTGTGTCCTGATAGGTTTGCCGAACATGACTTCAAAAGGGCTGGCACCGATGGGACGGCGAACAGCTGAGTTTAGGTGAGTCTCCAGGATGGGGAGGTACCTATCCCAATCGGCTCGAGGATACTGCGTGGTGTAGATACGCAGAGCTTCGAGGACGACGGAGTTCATACGCTCGGGTCGACCGTTGCTTTGAGGCATAAAAGGCGACGAATGCTTCACGTGAACGTTGATGGCAGCGTTGTCGCTGATAAGGACTTGAGGAAGGCCTTGGGATCGAAACACGGTTTCGATGAATTTTTGAGCAGCTTGTTCAGAAGTAATCGATTTACGGCAAGGGGTGAGATAAACTCGCCCTGTGAACTCGTCAATGAAGAGAAGAATTGCATCGTTCTTATCTCGAGTTCGTGGGAGTCCGGTCAGCAAGTCGAGACTGACGACTTCGAAGCGTGTCGAGGGAATGTCGATAAGATTTCCCTTGAAGACAATGCTGGCATGACAGGATGTAAAGCTCGATATCTTTCCGAAGCTGGGGCCAATAAACGGTTGTTGCTAGCTGAAGGTAGGTTCTTGAAAACCCGAGGTGGGACTGAAGGTCGTGGGCGCGGAAGAGAACTTCTCGACGCAATGCTTGCGGAATCGGAATGCACAGGCGGATGCGGCGCAACGAATCTGTATAAAACAGAAGCTCATCATCCAGATGAAAAGAAGTTACGGAAGACTTGGCGCGGAGACGTTGGAGAAGAGGACGACAAAAGTCGCACGTCTCGTAGGCGGCTTGAATCTGGTCCGACAAAGGCTGCAAGGCGCTGACGGTGAAGGCGAGCAAGAAGCCGTCCTCTTGACGAGAGAGTTGCTCGTGATGAGGAGCGACTGCAGTCGAGAGGGGAACTTCATCTTGACGGCTGAGAGCGTCGGGGACGACGTTCTGAGAACCTTTGACGTAACAGTACTCGGTGATTGCAAACTCGCTGAGCGTTTGAAGCCAACGAATCAATCTGCTGTTGATGTCTTTCTGTGTCTGGAAATACGTAAGAGCTTGATGATCAGTAAAGACCTTGAATGGAGTCCCTATCAAGTAGAACTTGAAGAAAAGGATGGTATCCTTGATTGCGAGTAACTCTCGTTCGGTCGCGTGATATCGTTGTTCGGTCGGAGTCAACTTACGACTGTAGAATCCGATGACGCGGGCGGGGGCGTTGGGAGGCTGCTGTAGAAGTACGCCTCCTATCCCGACATTGGACGCGTCGCAGTGCACTTCGGTCGGAATGGACGGGTCGAAGTGATGCCGGAGGGGCTGAGACGTCAGAGCTTGCTTGAGGTTGTCGAACGCGCTTTGACATGCTGCAGTCCACTGAAACTGAGCGCCCTTGCGGAGAAGGTCAGTCAGAGGGGCTGCTATTGTCGAGAAGTTGCGGATGAACTTTCGATAATAGGAAGCTAGTCCAAGAAACATCTTGACTTGTTTAGTAGTCGTCGGTAGCGGCCACGCGGAGATAGCCGCCGTCTTGGAGTGTTGGGTCGTCACGCCGTCAGCGGAGACACGGTGACCTAAGAAGTCAACACTAGTGCGAAAGAATTGAGCTTTCTCTCTCTTAAGGAAGACCTGATGCTCGCGACAGCGTTGAAGCACGGCGCGAACGTGATCTGTATGAGCTTCCCAGGTGGAGTACGTAGCGATGACGATGTCGTCGATGTATGCAAACGTGTGGGGTAGATCATGGAGGACCTGCTGGATGAATCCTTGGAATATGCTGCTGGCAGTGATGAATCCAAATGGTAGGCGCTTGTATTGGTAGTGACCAATCGGTGTAATGAACGCGAGATATCGGCGATCAGGAACACGTACGAGTACCTGCCAAAAACTCTTGATACAATCAAGCGTAGTGATGCATAGCTGCTCATCGGTTTTGCGACGGGCTTTGCCTTGACGGACTGTGTCGGCGATCTTTTCCAACATCTCATCGACGGTAGGAGTTGCGGCGGTCTGCTGATTCAAGACGACTTGGTTCAAGCGGCGAAGGTCGCAGCAAAAGCGGTAGCTTTTGGGATCAGTTGGGGAGCGTGGATCATTGGGGCGTCGACTGAAAAGCACAGGAAAGGCAAACTCACTATTGGATGGCTCGATGATGTCGTGTTCGAGCATGTACGCGATGGTAGCCTGGAGTTCTCCTTCAAGATGAAGGGGGATGCGATATGGCCTGCAGTTAATGGGCAAGGTCCCTGGCTTGAGCTGAATGTGAGCGTCAAACTGATCGTCGACGAGGACGTCGGCGAATTCCTCAGAGAGGGCTTGAGCAAGGTGAGCAGGGGCGCCCACTGGCGGGTCGGCGGAAGAGGCCGAGGCGGAAGCTGTCGTTGGGACATGCAGGTGCAACAAGAACCATTCCTCGTTAGGATTGGCGACACGCAGAGCCTCCGTGAGCATCGGTGAGCGAGACGGTTGTCACGGCTAAGACCGAGTCCTTGTAGGGCACTTGATGCTGAACTGGCAAGCTAATCGGAGGGGCTCGTCGAGCTTTGGGGGAATCGACGAACACTTCTCGGGTCCGCGGAACGTAGACAGCGTTGTGACGATGTATCCACTGGAGGGACAAGATCAGGGGTTGAGAACAACGTGGCAAGATATGAAACGTATCTTTGCTTGAAAAGCGGCCGATGCGATAGGCGAGCGAGATGGCGCCGAGGGTTTGCACTTGGCGGTCGTCCGCAACTTGCACGGTGAACTGCGTATCACGCTGTAGCAGAGTCTCGGAGAGTCCCAGCTGCTGAAAAAGCTGCTGAGACATGATATTGATCGTCGCGCCGTGATCGAGCAGGGCAACGGTCTGGTGAGCAAGCGCGAAGCCGCGCAGACAAGCAGCCTAAGGGTCAGGCAATCAAGCAACAAGCAGCAGGAGCATGCAGGAGGAATAAAATCCCTCAGACGCGATACCTGGAGGCAGCCGACTGACCACTGTCAGTCGAGACGTCCGCTGCCGCCACAAAGCGGGCGGCCGCGGACGGAGCAAGGGCAGCCGCCGACAAGGAGCCGGCTAGTCGGCGTCGACGAATCTCCTGCTGCCATCCACGAGTCCTAGGTTCTTGCTGTCTTCTTCATGATTCTCCTACGTCGTCCTTATTGTAGCTGTTGCTGTCCTCTCCAGGGATGCATTCCGGGCTAAGCATCTGTGCACTTGAGCCACGCCGGAGTCGATTGCTTGGCATTGTCTGAGGTGAAGCTTGCTCCTATCAGGTGCTTCAGTCATCAGTTAGCCGGGCGGTCACCACGGTGCCCGGCCCCCGGAGCCGCCGCCCCGGCGGGACGGTGAACCGTTCGGAACTTCGGAACTCGGGCCCGGGGCCGGCGGCCGCGCGGCGGCTGAGGCTGGTAACTTATTGGGGTGTGGTAACTAAGGAGGTTGGTGGCGAAGAGACGTGATGCTTGTAAAGCTCTACAACGGGGTGTCGCAGGAGGCGCTGAAGGGGCTGAGAGAGATGAACCTCTCCTCCTCCTCCTCCTTCTCCATTGGCTCCGATCCCAACGCCTCCAACTGGTCTCAGCTCCCTACTCAGAGCTACACCCCTGGCATGTAAGTCATCAGTTGCAACGTAGTGGAGGTGATGAGCGAATAGAACATGTCAAGCAGTAAAACTTGATGAGCTTGTTTAGCTTGCTTTAGCTCCTGCTCCCTCACACCGAATTCACGGTGATCTGCATCAACCCCCGCAAGCGTCGAAAGTTCTTTACGGGTTCACCATACTTTAGTGCATTCAACAGCATGAAGGGTATGGAGTGACAGCGCGGTTGGATCGGTTTCAGTTCTTTTTTCTATCGTAACATATCAAGCCTAACGCTCTCAAGCCTCTTTGCCGGGGTTCCATCTCTCCTTGATATGCCTACTTCTTCAGGGCTTGACGCATGTCTGCTCTCCTCTTGTTGTCACTTGACCTCCACCGCTCTCAACCGTCCGTTCAGCATCTCCTCCTCCTGCACACAACGCAACAAGTCACAGACTTCCATCGTCCTCCTCCTCACTCACCCGAGCCGCTTCATCCTGCCACTGCTGAGCTTCCTCCAGCTCCTTCTCTACCTCCTCATCCGCCAATGGCTTGTCAGGTTTGGCGCGGCTAGAAGCTTCAGTAGAGGTCTTTTTCCCCTTGACCTGCTCAGAAGAGGGAGGGAGCAGGGACTTGAGCGAGCCAACAGCACGCGACAGGTCCGAGTGTTCCAGCCGATCCATGCTCGTCCATCCCTCCCTGGGCAGCTCCTGCCCAGCAGACACCAGCCCAGGCTCCAAGCTCCTCCTACCTCGCGTGTCGTAGCCCCACACATCCTCATGCTTGTACGGCATCCACCCGCTGTCCACGTTCACCCCTGGCAACCGGCCGGGCCCTCCCTCACGGTGCTCGACGGGTCTATTCAAGGAGACGTAGCTGGGGGTCGAGGCCTCTGACTTGTCCGCCACTTGATCTGATGGAGCCTCCTCCCCCGCCGCTGCCTCCTCCCCCGCCGCTGCCTCCTCCTCACGCGTCTCATTCTCCTGCAGTTCGGCTTCTTCTCGATCCTCAAGACTCTGACGCAAAGTTCGCGGGCTTAGCGGGGCTGGCACCTGCATCAGCAACTCGTTCTCATCCTCTTCCTCGTCCCCAGCAGGAGCGCGAGCTGGAGGTCTGTTGCCGTACATGAACGGCGTCATGGGCGCTACTGTGCCCATCCCACTGGCCTGCACTTGCTCGGCAGGCACTTGCACGTCAGCAAACGAGTCCGGGGAGTAGCACTGGGAGAACTCGCTTCCGCAGTTGACGCGCTCCATGGGGTCCAAGTTCTTCAAGTTGCTCGCGCTCATCGACTTGGGCGGCAGGATGAGCGACAACTTGGTAGCGCGCACTGCTTGTCCGATGCCGTACTGTCTTGTCAACAAGTTGTTGTTTCCCACCTTCACTTGCCTGTCGTGCATTGAACAGGGAAAAGTAGTGGAGCTCCCACACGGGTTGAAGTCACGGAATGAGAGATCCTTCATGAAGTTCCGGGAGACGCTCTACAGTCATTCATCAGCCGACTAGCGATGACAAGTGTGAAAACACATCAGGAGCGAATTTCAGAAAGGAGAAACGGGGGCACAAGGCGGGTAGCACTCGTTGAAAACAGCGACATGCATCTTCACCTGACTTGGATGGCGCACGGGAACATCCCAATCCAGCCTTGAAAGAAGAAAACAAAAGTCACCATGGCGTCGAGGATAAGCTTGAAACTTACGCAATAGAAGGATGAGTATGATGTGGGACGAGGTATCCCAGTGTTGAGAAGCAGTCCAAGAATGTCGAGCACTGCTTGCCCACTTGCTCCAGGTTTTGTATCCTTGCCTTGCGCACCTGTGCTGTACCACGCTGAAGCTTCTCAGCAGAAGCGGCGGGCTTTGACGATAGAGAGGAACCGAAGGCCTCAGCGGCAGCGGCAAGGTCTTGGTCCTTCATGTCTTGCAGCAGGTTCACGCCATAGTTCATGTCACCGGCTGCCTTCACCGCTCGCCTTTTGTCCTCAAACCCCAGCAACTTGCTCATCGAGGGCCCAAGGTGAAGCCCCGAGGCGGAGTCGCAGTGCAACTTGCCGTGAGCATCAGGCCAGCAGCCCCCGAACGAGCGCGTGCCCTCTCGTCCCTTGACGGGCCCGTACAAGTCCGGGATGAGTGTCCAGCTGTTCTCGTTCACTCCAGGCAGCTGCCGCTCACGCTTGTAGTTGAAGCTGCCGGGAGCGAAAGGCCACGAGTCTTCTTTGACCCCCGGGATGTGCCTGCCGTCTCGCCTGCCGACCGCTAGCGCCCTTCGCACTCCTCCTCCCCACGAGTCCTTCTTGATCCCCTTCAGCCGCGACTTCTTCGAGCCCCTCCTCGACAAGACCTCCTTGGTTGGCTTCAGCTGGACCTTGTCTGCATTGCTCGTCCTGCTGGCTGCTTGTTCGCTTGCTCCCGTCGGGAAGGTCGAGGCCTCGCCCGACAGGACGCTCTTGTCCGGCAGAGCCATCGTGAGAGGGTTCAAGGAAAACTTCTTGGAGTCCCTTACGTCGGCCTTGTCTTGGGATGTCCAGCCCTCCGTTGGAACCTCATCCCTGCTGTCGCGCCTTCTCTGCGAGGCTTGGAGGACTTGCGTCGCAACTATCGCCTTCACCTACCGCATCCTCAGCATCTCCTTGTACCCACCACTCCCTCTCTACCAGTTTGGGGGCACCAGCCAGGATGTCGTCAGAACCCTCGCGCTGCACAGACACGATCATGCTAATTGAAGGATAGCAGAACAAGCGTGAGAAGCAGGGGCGTGGTGAGCTGGGGACAGACAGAAGGGGCAGAGAGAGAAGGCTGGGGTGAATGTAGTAGAAGGACAAGCACGAAAACACTCGATGAGAAATCGACCTGCTCGAGCTCGGGAACTTCCGCTGTCCTCTCGCTCAAGTTGAACCCGACTAGAGTACTGACGGCCAACCCTGCGAGGAGGAAGGAGAGGAGAGGAGAGATTGACCTGGTTCTTCTCAGAAGAGGCTCTTGTACTCTGCTTGCTACTCCCCTCCTGCTCTCCTTCGAGGCGAAGCGTCCGCTCATCCCTTCCCTCCCCTCCCCTCCCTCGCCTCCCATTTGTTCGCGGCTCTTCGCTTCCTTGAGAACGAGGGAGATGAGTGCGACTTAAAACCTTCACTGAGTATAATCATCGGCCGGGCCCGGCCCGGCCCGGACGGCCGGATCATCCGGGAGCACGCGGCACGCGGGCCCGGAGAGGGCGAGACTGGCACTCACAAAGATGACTCCGCTCGGACTCCGGAGTCCGACCGAACGCGCTTCTACTCAAAGTGAAGTTCAAAATCAGCAGTCACAGTGGCTGCCGCCGCCGACGGGCCTACGGCCCCGCATGGCCGGGCGCTCGCCGCTCAGCAGGGCGGCCGGCCCTCATCAGATGCCGGGGGATCGGGAACCCAAAAAAAAACGTGTAAAACCTTTTGGTCTTCGCGACGTGGTCAAGCGCTATGCAGGCGAAACAGAACGAAAGAGGAGGAGGAGGGGGAGGGGGAGGGGGAGGGGGAGGAGGAGAAGGAGGAGGAAACAAGAAGAGAAGATGAAGGAGGGAGAGGAGAAGAGAGGAGTTATAGGAGGAGGACGACAAAAGAGGAAAATGGGAAGGAGAGGAATAGATATAAGAAGAGTGAAGAATGAAAATCAGGGAGATTCAAAGTAGTGACAAGCCAGAAGAGAAAGGATAAGTAGAGCATGAGAAAGAAAACTGGAGATATTGGGGAGGAGAGTAATAGAAAGAAGAGAAGATGGAAATAGAGCAACATTCAAATGAGAAACCAATCAGAATAGAGTTAAACAAGAGGGGTACACAACAAGTGTAGAGAACTCCTATACTGATTGAGACATCAGGATACCGGTTGCCAAGTCGCCATGGTTGTCACCTGCGAGTTTCGCATCCCGATGCCGATGACGGTACAGGAGTACTTCACTGCGCAGCTCTATATGACCGCCAAGACCACGAGGATGGAGGCTGAACGGGTGGGAGGAGCGGGGGTAGAGATTCTCAAGAACGAGCCGTGCGAACATCCCAAGCATGGACGAGGGCAGTACACGCTCAAGGTCTATCACTTCCACCACAAACTCCCGCGATGGTTGCGAGCCGTGGTTGCCAAGAACAAGGCGACGCTGAGAGAAGAGAGTTTCAACTGCTTCCCTTACATCAAGACCACCCTCACCATCGAGTCCTTCAAGAAGTTCCAAGTCGTGGTGGAGACCCAACACCTCCCGAGCACGGAGGAGGAGAACGCGCACCATCTGAATCAGAAGCATCTCAAGGGGCGCAAGGTGGAGTACCTGGACATCGCCATGGACGAGGTGGATCAGGATGAGACCGGGACGATGGGAAGTGAAGACCCGAAGAAGTGACAACCTTGACGACTTGTTGCTTGTGATGTAGAGAAGCTCAAGGCCTCAACAGGTTCCGATCGCTCAAGACAGGACGAGGACCTCTGAAAAAAGACTGGAGGAAGACTTCACGCCAGCTCATGTGCGCGTACAAGCTGGGGGGTGAACGTTGAGGAGGGAGGGAAGAGTGAAGGAGGCGCAGGTGCGAGCCAAGTTCGACTACTTCGGTCTGAGGTCAAAGGTCGAAGATTTCATCATCAACTACGAACGAAATCTGTTCCTGTGAGTGAGGAGGGGAAGTGTGCTCCGGGGGGGGGGGGGGGGGGGGGCGAGGAAGCATGTTAAGAAAGAGAAGGAGGAGGAGGAGGAAAGGAGGAGCAGGTCTCAGTGAAGAGCAGGTCAACTCACAAGCAAATCTTCTGCTGGATGGACGAATGGTATGGCCTGTCAATCCAACAGGTGAAGAAGAATGAGAAACTCTTTCTTGCTGCTTCCTCTCTTGATTCTTCTCTCTCCTCTTCTCTGGTGTAGTCTACCTCTACCTCTACCTCTACCTCTACCTCTACCTCTACCTCTACCTCTACCTCTATCTCTATCTCTATCTCTACCTCTACCTCTACCTCTATCTCTACCTCTATCTCTATCTCATTCTCTATCTCTATCTCTACCTCTATCTCTATCTCTATCTCTATCTCTATCTCTATCTCTATCTCTACCTCTACCTCTATCTCTACCTCTATCTCTACCTCTACCTCTACCTCTACCTCTACCTCTACCTCTACCTCTACCTCTATCTCTACCTCTATCTCTATCTCTATCTCTACCTCTATCTCTACCTCTACCTCTACCTCTATCTCTATCTCTATCTCTACCTCTATCTCTATCTCTACCTCTATCTCTATCTCTATCTCTACCTCTACCTCTATCTCTACCTCTACCTCTATCTCTACCTCTATCTCTATCTCTATCTCTACCTCTATCTCTATCTCTATCTCTATCTCTACTCTCCTACCTCTATCTCGTACTCGTCTATCTCTATCTCTACCTCTATCTCTATCTCTATCTCTATCTCTATCTCTATTCTAGTCTCTATCTCTACCTCTACCTCTATCTCTACCTCTACCTCTACCTCTACCTCTACCTCTATCTCTATCTCTATTCTATCTCTATCTCTATCTCTAGCT